GTCCTTGCACTGGCTATTACCTGTTGTAAGCACCTATAGAAACGTCTATACTGGAGCTTAACTCACTTTGGAATTCAGCCTGATATATATGTAAGCTATTTTATTTTTTGTGGTTACTTCGAAAGACGGCAAAGCTTTCGAAAAAAAATATGTTTATATATATATATATATATATATATATATATATATATATATATATATATATATATATATATATATATATATATATATATATATATATATAAAGTAAACAACAAAATTATGCAATATCTGCATGAATAATTTTTATTCCCACAGAATTGTTGTTGCAAGTTCTAAGACGGCATTTATTTTAGCATTAGAGGTACGTTGCTTAATTAACGCAATATATACATGTGCTGCTCAAAAAAGTTAAGAACCATTTTATGTTTTCTCAAACTTTTGAACAAGATGAATAATTGATCAATAATAGTATATTTTATCAAATTAAAAGGCCATTTAACAAATGCAACATATGTACAGAGAAAAACAATCCTCAGCATACTTTTAAATTAGCTCAAATACAAAGAAAATCAAAGTAAGTTCTTAAAATTCAAGTTCATTTATTCACTCAAAACCATCGAAATATATGGTACCTGAGGACGATGAAAAATATTTACAGTATATAAATTTAGGTCAGGGGTACATATATATGATGTACTTGTAGAGTCATATTGCTTTGGTTCCAGGAGGGTTTGTGTGTTTGGTTATGTTTGTTTGAATAAAAAAAAAACACAAAACAAATCAAAATAAAATCCTGAAATTTGCTGGGTTTTTTTTTAAATGTTCATTTTACATTATGAACGTTTTTAATGTGCAATGTACATATTTTTTGGAACGAGTTTATTTCAATGTATTGCCATAGTTACTCAAATTATAAATATTTGTTAAATGCTTTAAAAATGTTACTCTTTCTACAGTCTTGGTCCACTTTCAACAATACTTTCTACACAAGGACGCTAAGATACATTATTTATTGGTTACTTTTTGTCGATGAACGGTATTGGCATGGTTAACAAAATTAGAAATTTTAGTGAAATTGTAAAATTCTTTCAAAATGATAACCGTCCTGCAGTTTTGTCTGATTTCTTTATTATTAGCACACAATTATACCATACTAAGATACATAATTCTGATAATAGTTTTTTTTTTTTTCTTTTTTTTTAACACTTCGATGAAAGGTCTTTCCATGGTTACTTGAAATAGAAAATTTCTGTAAAATGCTTTAAAAACGCTACTCCTCTTAAGTTTTGACCTGTTTTCAATAAAACTTGGCACACAAGTAGATTAACCTAAGATATTATATGCAACTTCAGGCATAATTCTAGTAATTCATTTTTTATTCAACATCCTTCGAATTACCTAATTAGCAACAACTTGGGCTAAAACAACTTAAATTTTAACTACATGTAAACATGAGCTTAAATTTATAAAGACTTAAAGTAGTCTTCCGTTCGTCATATAATCTTCAGATAAAGTTTTCCTATTTGCAGGAATTCTTCCTAACACCATCACGGACCGGAGCCCCCACCATTTATTACTGTAGCATTTGCGAAAAAAAAAAATCTCCAAGACGGTGGTACGCACATACTCCATCATCTTCAAACCGAAATATTCTGGGAAAAAAACGTACAAGTGTCCAGTAAGCTTGGCTCTACTTTACATGATGATTGCACATCAATCAAGGTGTAGTCGTCGGTTGTTTTGTTTGAACAAATTGAGGTCATGGCTGATGCTGAAATAAATATACCTGTCAAGAGTGCAACAGAAAAATTCCAAAAAACATTGATTTTAAATATCTGTATGACAGTTAAGTCAAAAAAGAGTTCTCAATTCAAAGTGTAAAACAATATAACTGATAGACCATTTTAAAACTTAAAAATGTTATATGAATCACAAGGAGCATTAATGAGAGTCAAGTATCTGTGCATACCCAATAATATCGTGAGTGCAACATTTGATGTTTTGCTCCATAGCATGGAAAAACTTTTATTAGTATATGATCCCTGATTTCAATTTTGGAAGATAAAGACACAAACCAAATAGATCTATCAATTACAGGGTGGGTCTGTATTCCAGATCTATGTTTTTATGGTCAGGAGTGCAACACAGATCAAAGTTATTTGAAGAAAAGACTTCCATTCATGTTAATACATATTCTTTAATCAATAATTTAGTACCAAATTATTGCCAGTTTTATTATTAAAAATTTGATAAATCCAGAGGTTTTTTTTTCTTTTGTTTGATTTTTTATGAATTAAAAAACAAACAAACACACTGAAAAATTGTAATAAAATTCAAGTAATTCCACCTCAACTTCACTGAAACAACAGAGTACGTTCTGGTGTAATTTATGCTTCACAATTCTACATGTAGCTACTTTAAAGACTCGCATGCTCTTGGTCAGGGGTGCAACAAAAATGTTAGAATTATTGCTGATCAAATACATGTAGGTACACATATAAAGAAATAATCGGTGAGTAGATTTTTTTCTGTTTGACCTCGATTGCTTACAGTGTTTGTTCTGCGAGGGAAAATATACTATAAAATATACTTTTACCTTCTAAATATATTTTAGCTTCTCTCTTTTTTTTTTTTTTTTTTTTTTTTTTTTTTTTTTTTTGGACATACATACGGAATAATTCAAGATATAAAGCCAAGTTTAAATACCTCTATGTGTTTTAACCATGAAATATTTAGCTATAAATATTGCACAATTTCGTTGCCAACACTTTATGAATTTTTATGTTCTATGAGTTTAATTTTAAATTTTACTGCAGTCAGGAGTGAACAAAACTGTTTAATAATTATCAGTATTATACTTTCATATAAATTAGTTGAATCTGATTCAACGAGAAACATTTGTTAAAAAACACTATTACCCGCTGAATAACGAAGCCACGCCCTCCAGCGTAGCAACAGTCAACACTGCTTGACGACGGGTGATATTCCAAATAATAGTGACTGCGCAGAATTTATGCGCGCAAGGTTCACTGTTATATGTATTTGTATAAAACATTCAGTATAATATAATAAATATTGCATGTAGTGGAGTGTAACATTGAAAATTATCACCCTAAGAAAACCATTGTCAACCGAGGCGCAGCCGAGTGGTTTTCTTAGGGTGAAAATTTTCAATGTTACACTCAACTACATGCAATATCTATATAATGATTAATGAACTTCATCTATCTTTACTAAAATATTAATTGCAGAAAATGTTTGATAGTATTTGTAACTCAAATCATTATACGTCTATCAACAAATTACAGATATTGCTTTGACATTTTACAGTTAAGTCACAGAATAGTTTTCGTCCTCAAAGATATATTTTTAAATGTATATTACACAAGCAAATAATCATATTTTGAAGTGTAGAAAATATGAAAAACTTGCTGTAAATGATATAAAATATCAAAACGACAAATTGATTTACAAAGTAAGAATGGGTTATTGTGTGTTATAATTTTTGAAACAATGTTAAATAAAATTTATTTACATTTGCAAATATTTTTCTTAGATGAACCTATTGAAGAGAAAATATGTTCAATTCTGTATGAACTTATTAGGGGGTCAGAGGTCATGGCGTGACCGAATCACACAGCGAGATGATATCTTGTCTACATATTTCTGTCACAGTGACACTGGTTTCGGAACTTCTAAGCCGTTAAAGCGATGAAAAAGATAAAATATTTGAAACATATTTATTTTTGCGTTCAACAAATGATCATTAGATATTTCTTTGGTGTGAAGAATGTTTCTAATTAGCCTAAAATCACGCTTACCTTTTTAACCCGAAATTCCTTTGAAGGTACCATGTAAACTGAAGACGATAGCACTGCTTTTGACTCCATATATAAAGAACTCATACAATAATAATAAGATTATTCCCAGTAGCGATCACTGTTTTTTTCATTATGAACAGATATTTCCTGAACTGGACTGCTGAACATCAATGTAAGTATTCAAATGTTGGAGCGAGGCAAACTCTCAAGACCAAACAGCTTCTAGGTCATTGCGCGTCACAACATAGCAATACGACGGGCCGTTCGTGTAATAAATGCAGTTCTTTTCAGAATATTCGTCTCAAATGTAAATAAAAGTAATAAACAACAATGTTAAAAAGTTCACTGGGAAATGAACTTGGTTGGTACGTGATCAAATCTTCTGAGAAGCCCTTCGGGCTTCACAGGATTTGATCACGTGACCAACCAAGTTCATTTCCCAGAGAACTTTTTAACATTGTTGTTTATTTCTTAAACATATCAGATGTCAGGAGTGAAACACAATAATGTAAAATAGGATCACTTCAAAATTTAGTATTTTTGTAAGAAAACTTGTCTATCAAAATTCTTTCAAAGAATTGACTTAAATGGATCAAAAATGTTATTTGGGGGGAATTTATTACACATGTATATCATATTTCTTTCATATTAAACTTTCAAAACAGATTCGAAAAAAAGTAAAATAATCAAAAAGCCAATTTCTTTCACATATACAAGAAAGGAAACTCAATGAAGGTTTATATCTAATAATTTACATCCCTGACACCATTTTGAAGCATTAAAACTATAATTTCTTTTTATTATGTATTTTAGAAAGTTTTTTTTATGATGTAGTTATATATTTTTTTCAAATAAAGTTTTAGGCCTACTAATAAAAATTCTTAAACTTTTTTTTATGCAATCGTCTATTCTAGGAAGAGTCTTGACTGGTTAAGTAATAGACTCTACCTCTATTCTATTGCCTCTTCAGGAATTTTACCTAGAATGTGTGTATATACAATATGATGATATTTATAAGTGAAAAATATGTTATGCTTAGTTCATTTTTTTTATTTAATTCAGTTTGATAGTCATTTTTTTTATTCACCCTTACAACATTTTTTTTAAAAATTCAGATCAATAATTATTCACATCGAGTGTGGTGTTCACATATATGCAAATTTAAACTTCTTTCTACTTTCGCTTTATCCGTCATGCATAGACTGCGGGCAGATTCTGTCTCCCCACTGCATTGGCACAAAGAGTATTTAGTACTTATATTTGGATCATGTTTTGGTATAATCTTATTTTATCTAGAATTGAAGTGTGCTGCCCTAAATAACATTGTACTACAACACGAATCAATCCTTAGGTCCAGTCGTTTAAAACAAGATTCATGGAAGGACCACTCTTTCGGTAAAAATGTTTTGCTTGTTCTTTGATTATATAGTGATTTGTCACAGTCCAATATCTAGAATAGATAACTAGATTTTATCGTTAAAATAACAGACCTGGTGTGACGAGGGCTTGTTCCTTGATTATGCTACACGTATGTAATCCATGTTTCTTGATGTAATCCTTGTTTTTTTTATTATGCTACATGTATGTAATCTAGAAGGCCAATTAATTTGTGAATGATTGAGAGGCTGCCCCCCCCCCCCCCCCCAACGCTCCGCCAAATTTAATTGATTTTTTTTTTTCGAAAAGTTATAAAAAGATCCTATGTACCCCACCCCTATTAATTCACTTGATTAATTTGGTTAGGGTGTTGTAGTTCGAGAGCGGAGAGGGGTTCCGCCCCTTAATTGTTTTGAAGAACAGTTTTTTTTTTTTGCTGTAGTTTTGATATGGAAATGTTCATTTATTGACCCCCCCCCCCCCCCTTCAGTTTTTTTTTTTTTTTGGTAGTATTTTGAACTCTGGCAAAGTCTTAAATTGTTTATTGAAAGGTAGGGGAAAAGGTAGAGAAAGATTCTAAATAACATCCCCACCCCTCCCCACACCCTTCCCACACACACGAAATAATATTTTTCGAGTTTGGGCAGATATTTTTTTGTGCTTCTCAATTTTTGAGGATGCCACTTCCCTCCCTTTTTGAAAATGTTGCATAGGACCTGCGTCGATCCATTCATAGATCACTTAGTGCTCTTTTTTTCTCGTTTTTATTGATCTGTTTGGCATTATCCTCTTTTCCAGGTTTTTCTCACCAGCTACCAAAGCCCTCATACATGTAACACTCTTCGTATGGAATGTTACGTGTACATAATGCAGGGACAGGTTCTGCATTTATTACATATTTGTATTTTATATCATTGTTAATATACATGTAAAAGTATTGACTCGATGAGGCTTCTATCGCCATTTCAACATGTTAAAAAGTTACCTGACTTCTATTCTGTTGTGCTGCATGCATCTTGATGTAACCTATAATGTTTGTCTTTCAGTCATATAGTCTATCCCTATCCCTATTTACTATAAGTAAATGTATTTTAGTATTTTGATATGGCAGAAATTTCTCATTCTATTTGGATTTGATTTACTAAAACATGTAAAATGACAGCACTTCACGTAGGAATCCATGAGTTTTCCATCCTCACAATGTCACGGTTTTGTGATTTCGGAACTCCACACAAACCCTTGACATTGTGAGGATATGAGTTTTCGTGATATTCCATTGCATTGGAGTCCGTTGATCTTATGACGTTACACACTATCGGAATCAATATCCGGAGATGCAATGTGACAATCGGATAGCGATACTCCCTCGAACATGCACTTGAAAACATTACAACACTTGGGAGGGGGATTTTTCTCTGGAACCATCATCGGTAGCCATTTTGGACTATCAATATTTAGGCTTTAAACGCGTGAATCAAATGATAAAGAAAATTAAATTAACTCAATTTAACTTAGAAAATTATTTACACTCCTATCTCCAACGAATATCAATCGTGCAATAATAGTGAAAACAACAGCATATAAGGTTAATATTTTACAGGCGCATGGTATTTTTTTTGACGATTTTAACCTCAATCAATGTGTGCTCAATCTTTTTTTTTACTGTTGCTTTTTTGCATTAAACATTTAGTGTTTCTCCAATAACAGGGATTTGCCTCTCCAGTGCTTGTGATACGAGTGTGACAGAGACTGCAGTTATTTCTTTTACTGCTAATTGTCTACTTCTCTCATGTATTTGGACATGCCTGTATCAGTTTTATTTCATTTTTTTTTTCATTGAGAAATACGTCATGGAGAGGTTTATAATTTTTGGTTTGTTCTGTAGAAGAATTACAGCGAAACATAACGAGGTTGGAACAGGAGATTGAATTACAGAAAAAAGCAACCGATAAATGTCTCAGGGATATGGAAAAATATGGTATAATTTCATTTGTTTAAATAAAATGCAGTATAATTTTGTTTCAAGTATAAATATAGTGCCAAGTGGCAGGGCTAGGTCGATAAATCGATACGTATCGATGTTCAAAAAGGTATCGTATTGAAAAATAATCTTCCAATACGTATCGGTTAGGCATTTTTTCTTGAAATGCTGTAAAAAAAAAAAAAAGAAATTTCAATCATTAAAGATTAAATTAAACTTTTTTAAATTACAACTGATCTATAATGAAATAAACATTAAGAAGATAGCACATCCTTAATAATTACTACATAACATATAGACAACTGTACTTGAACACGTTGGATTTACAGATGTTAAAAGTTTGAATTGAAGTGTATTGTGATGACGATGAGACAAGAACTACGAAATAGGTTATAAAATACCCAGTTCTTGTAAAATTTATGCATTTAATGATTTATAAGACTGTCATAGAATTGTTAAAGAATCCGATATGTCGCATACCGTTTTATTGTATATAGCATATCGTATTGTATCCAAAATTTATTGCTCTATACACAGCCCTACTAAATGGCATGTCATCTATTTATCTCATTAGATAGCATATTTTTATGAAACGCTTGTTTAGATGTTCAAAATTGTCATACTTATATATTCGTAAAGGAAGGGTTTATGACCCTTTAGCTAAAGTTTTAAATATCTTTACCATCTATAGAAATATTAGAAGCTGAACATTTGAAACTAAGGAAAATGTTGGAGGAAATTCAAGTACATATTGAAACAGGCCAGAATGGCAAGAAATCTCAAATGGAGCAGGCAAACCAAAAACATTGGGGCACTCAAACGGAACAGAAAAGTAAGTAGTTGTTATACATGTAGCAGTTAAATGTTTATACAAGAGTGTAGTATACTAGTAAATAAGAATGCCGAGTTCAAAACCACAAATGTATTTTCCAAGAATTGTTTAAAATGTTTTTGAATATCTGCTCTTTTGTTGTAATAAAAAAGATAAAATTGGGGGGGGGGGGGTCTGCAATGCAGTGCTAATTAGGGGGAAAACTTTAATCATGGGATAATGATCTATTTTCATAAACATATTTCATAAATTTATGAAAATAATTCATTGTCCCATGATTAAATTCACCCCCACCCCCTTATAAGCACTGCGTTGTAGATTTTTGTAATTTACCAGATGTCTCTCAATATAAATTGTTTACATGTCAGTATACTATAATAGTAAAAAAAAAAGTAAAAATTGTTAGGTTTTAGATTACATATTTAGGATAGGAAAGTTTGACATGATAAAAGGTAGCTCGCTTTATAATTTGTTTGTATGATTATCATATGTAATTAATCTTAATAGAGCTAATTGTAAATGGAGTTGTTGATAACATTTTTGATAACATTTTTAAGGCGGTGTAAGATTTCAAGATATTCCAGACAACATTCTATCGGAGTATCCCTTTGTGCATATTATAAGCTCCATAGCTACATTTATGATGGTTATAACTCTACTATATGTAAGTATATACATGTACATAGTAGGTATTAAATGTATTCAATAAACTTTTATGAACAACACTTTAAATTTTTATTAATGTTTATTTAGTAGGGTTGGGCTAATTGATCACTGTAGGGAGGTTTGATAGTGACACTAGGGATATATGTAAGTGTTCCCATTAGACAAGCTATCTGTGAATGGGAGGGGGGGGGGGGGGCAAATTCTGGTCTGGTTCCTTTGGTACCACAAGAATTAAAAAAACCCAGATTATCATTTAAGAGCACAAAGAAAGTTCCTGTGTGACGTTTTTTATGCCCCCGTAATCGAAGATTCGAGGGCATATAGTTTTTGCCTTGTCCGTCCGTCTGTCTACTCTAGCTCTGCTTGTCCGCAAAAACTTTAACCTTGCCCATAACATTTGATTGATTGGAGCTATGGCTTTCATATTTCACATGTGTATCCTTTCTTGGGGTATCACCATATTTGACCTTTTGACCTTGGAGTTTGACCCAGTTTTGCAAAATTTTACCCAACTTTAACCCTGGCCATGACTTTTGAACAGTTGGTGCTAGGGCTTTCATACTTCACATGTGTATTCCTTGTGACAAGACCTTCCTTTTGATACCAACAATTTTGATCTTGACCTAGGAGTTTGACCCAATTTTGAAAAACTTTTACCTTGGCCATAACTTTTGAACAGTTGGTGTCAGTGCTTTCATACTTCACATATGTAATCCTTTTGACAAGACCTTCCTTTGTATACCAACAAGTTTAACCCTTTGACCTAGGAGTTTGACCTACTTTTGGAAAACTCTAACCTTGGCCATAACTTTTGAACGGTTGGTGCTAGGGCTTTCTTATTTCATATGTGTATTTCATGTGAGAAGGCCTTTCCTTGGGCACCATTAATTTTGACCATTTGACCTTGATGTTTGAATTACTTTCACCTTTTCCATATCTATTCAATGGTTGCTGCTAGGGTTTCATATTTCACAGATATATACCTCGAGACGAGACCTTACCTTGGGTACCAACATATTTGATTTGCATTTCAGAAAGTTTATCGCTACAAGTTTCCATATGGGAACATCAGTGTTTCACAAACACATCATGTTTTTTAACTAGCATATTTAGATATATGATGCATACCACAGATATTGCACGAATAATTTTTAATCTCGCAGGTATGTTGTTGCAAGTCCTAGGATGGAAATAATATAGATTTTAGTATTATAGGTATGTAGCTTTGTTTTGAAATGTTTTTAAATTACCGGTACTATAATATATTTTAAGTAAAATATTTCTCTCACTTTTCTTTTAGTTTGATATTTCATTAATTTCTGTAAGTTGAAAAAATAAGAATGAAGATTGAATAAACTGATGAAGATTTGCATTTTTTTTCATTGACAGCAAAGATTTCACGACTTGTACAAAAACTACATTTCATCCTAGTTATACCATCAAACCAAGAAATCTGTGGCCAGTTCATGTATACCAGGTGCTACTTTTTCTCCAATGGACTGTACACTAGAATATAATTTAAACTAGTCTAAGATATGAAATATTTTTTTTACTTATTATCATCTTTTGAAATAGTGTTTTTATTTTTTTAAATGTTGATTATGTAATAAATAAATTATTATACATCTATTCTTTTCTTTTCATTTTTTGCTTATCCGAGCTTTAAGCTTAAGTTATACCGATCTCATTTTGTCAAGCATCCATATGAAAACTTAAACATTTTGATTCTGCTACAGAACCACTGGACCAATTACAACCACACAGAAACTTGCCACATAACATTCGTTTGGAAAAGAGGGGTTCAAGTTTACTCAAACGACCATACCTTGTTGAAAGGGGAGTTAATCAAGAAAAGACAAAAATATGGTCATTGTTGCAAAGCACAACCAAAATGTAGGATATCCTCCTATCCCATTCCGGCCATGTAGAACAGAGCTATAAGCGGACGTCAGAGTGTGGCTTGAGACTACGAAATAGTTTGGGTGCACGTCTTAAAAAAAAATTTCTTTTCAAGAACAGAAAAGATGAAACAAGATCGCTGAGGTTTCTGACACAGAGTCTGACATAGTTAAACTTTGTACAAATCATGGTCCCAGTGGGTATGGTGGGGCCATAATAAATAGGCGTCATGGGAATATGTAGGATTTTTTAGAAAAATATTCTCAATAATAATAGGACCCTGATTATAATGTATATGTATCCTCAGATTACTCAGGTTCCAGGTAGATTTAAGTTTAATCAAAACATGATCCCGGGGAGTAGGGTGGGACTTTAATCAGATAATAGGATATCAATGTTTTACATGGGAATATAGACGTAGCACAATATGATGTCATAATACCCGTCTCCAAAGGAAAGTGAAGGGGGGTGGGTATTATCTGATTTTCTTTTCTTTTTTCTTGGAATAGAAAAGTACAAACCATATTGTACACTTATTTTGAAAAAGTCTTCAATCCATTTACATCATCATTTTGGGCATCAGTAAACTTCACATTTTAAAGATCGAAAGAAAAAATTCTTGAAACAAAAAACATACACATGCTTCATGTAACAGTTATTTTCTTGGCTTTTATTTCATAACACACAACAAAATACTGGATTTACATTTAGTAATCCATAATAACAGTATAATCAAAACAAAATCCTTAGTAATAAAAGTTTGATACATTCCAAATGGCAACAGCACTCATCCAAATCTGATGTGCCTTAATTGTTACAAAATGGCATCTCCATGATTTAAAAGACAGAAATACATACTCGTAAAACAATTACTATAAGCAAGTTCACAAAAATGATATCCCCCAACATATTTTTGACCTCTAAATTATGTGAAGACCTTCAGGCAAAGGCAAGGACACATTCTCAGGACTAAAAAAAATTACGTTTCAGTTGAGAGCTATCAGTTTTTCATTCAAAACTAGATATATATCCATACAGTAGGACATGAATGCCCTGCCAAGAGTATATTAGTAATGCAACATGAAAATTTGTATTAGTGTATGAAATTTGATGAGAATATCTTGAATAGTTTCTTTAAAATTGAAATTGAAATCTAAAAAGTTGGATATAGATGATAAATTCTCACCAAATTATGTATAAGTGCATAGACTTACTTAATATATCTTAAATGGTTTCTTTAAAATTAAGCAAAATGCAAATCTAAGAAAAGTGAGGTCAATGTCACAGGAAAGTTCAAGGTCAAATGTTTTTGATGCAGCTGAATACTTCTCACAAAAACGTATCAGCATATTTAAATTTGATAAAATTATCTTGAATGGTTTATTTAAAACTGAGCTAAACACTAATTAAAATAAATGAAGTTAAGGTCAAAGGAAAGGTCAAGGTCAAAAAATGTTGATGCAGTTGAAAAGGTTACATCAGAATGAATAAGCATATAAAGTTTGATAAAAATATTATGAATGTTTTCTTTAAAACTGAGTTAAACACAAATTGAGAAAAGTGATGTCAAGGTTAAAGGAAAGGTCAAAGGTCAAAAAATATTGATGCAGTTGAATAGCTTACATCAGTATGAATCAGCATATGAGTTTGACACTAATTTAAGAAAAGTGAGGTCAAGGTCAAAGGAATGGTCAAGGTCAAAAAATGTTGATCAGTTGAATAGCTCTCATCAGTATGTATTAACATATGAAGTTTGATAACACTGTATTGAATGGTATCTTTAAAACTGAGCTAAACACTAATTTAAGAAAAGTGAGGTCAAGGTCAAAGGAAAGGTCAAGGTCAAAAGAATGTTGATGCAGTTGAAAAGCTCTCATCAGTATGTATCAGCATATGAAGTTTGATAAAAATATCTTGAATGATTTCATTAAACTGAGCATAACACTAATTTAAGAAAAGTGTGGTCAAGGTCAAATGAAAGGTTAAGGTCAAAAAATGTTGATGCAGTTGAATAGCTTACATCAGTATGTATCAACATATGAAGTTTGATTACACTACTTTGAATGGTATCTTTAAAACTGAGCTAAACACTAATTTAAAAAAAAGTGAGGTCAAGGTCAAATGAAAGGTCAAGGTCAAAAATTGTTGATGCAGTTGCATAGCTCTCATCTATCAGCAAATGAAGTTTGATAAAAATATCTTGGATAGTTTCTTTGAAACTGAGCTTTGAACAGAGCTAAACGCAAAGTGTGACGGAAAGACAGACAGAAGGACGGAAGACAGACATGACATATTCATGGCGGGGCATAAAAATACTGACATACACTACCAGTGACCCCTCCTTTTACCTTCAACCTTGAGTCAAAACAATCAAAAAGCATAATACAGATCATACATGTAAGCAATTTTGGGCAAAGTATAAGCTTTCAGTGTTTGCTTATTTACATGTACAAGCTTACAACCCAGACAAAGAGTATATTTTTTTAACTATGCCAGTGGCCTTGACCTTGCCTAAATATCCTTCAGTGGAAACCATTATCTAGCAAATATTGGAAGTAAAAAACAATGAAACATAATAAAGATTTTACATGTAAGCAATTTTGGGGAAAAGTAGGAGCTTTCAGTGTTACCCTCTGCAAAGTTGTAGTTCAGACAAAATTTCTATAGACAGATGAATCCTTATTCCTCAAAACTTTGCTTGCAGGGGGTTTAATTGGTACATATAGCAGATCCACCTCTGCACTGAACATTTTCATTTGAAAAAAAACCCACAAACACTGTATTTATACGTGTTCTTATGCAAAAAGACAATACTTTCACCAACTCTTTTATCAGTTATCTACGTTGTACCATAGGACTGGCGGTAAATTTAGATTTTGCTTTCATGTTGCTGTGGTGTATTTGCCAGAAGAATCACAGTTTTTTTTAAGTCACGCCCACCTTTTGGCATCAAGCCATACTGTGTCAAGACCTTGACTAATGAATGAATGATGTCAATTTCAAGACCAAGGCAATGGCTGATGAATGAATTAAGTCAACATTTTAAATTTCAAAAATACTAACATTATTTAGCTTGTCGGTGTCCGCTTCATAAATGGTTTTGTATGTTTTCTCCGCGTATCCTTAATCAGTAAATGATACGTCCTATCTCGAATTCTCGTCATTTTTTTTCCCGTCTCCAAATACATATAGCAATTTCACATCAGAAGTCCCCGCATTTTTTTTACTTCCAATACCATTTCAAACTTTCATTAAAATGTCACAAATCATTTCATTTTTTTCTGTACGCCGATTGCCATAAAGAAAAAGTTCAATGCCGATGTTTCCTATATCCATCCCCCCTTTTTTCAAAAAAAAAAAAAACGATCTAGAAAGATAACTTTTCTTTCAGAGTTGACGGCTTGAACATAAAAGCCTACAATCGCTACCCCTATACCTGTACCTGACAAAAATCATGTTTTCTGCGTCTTCAACATTTCAAAGGTACAATATCTTCACACGTACCATGCAATTCCGATTTTTTTATCAACAACTTGTAGTAGCAGTGCCGCAGTAAAGTATGATCCTTGCTGATGGAGACAGCTATTTATACAGACTCCGGACCGTGTCTTGACACCTCGTAGTAGGCGGTGCTATTTATCAACTCGCTTTTCTCTCATTGGTCCTCTGGTACAAGTAACTTACACAATAGATATTAATTGGTTAGCTGTAAATACACTCACAGTTTTTATTCACTCGGGGCTCCGCCCCTCGTGAATGAAAAACTGTGAGTGTATTTACAGCTAACCAATTAATATCTATAGTGTAACTATAACTTGTAATCCAGATTAAAAAGACCTTGTATGGTGTACATGTGTAATGAAATGTCCACTTAGAATTGTTCAGCGTTATCCAATGACAACTTAACTCTGTGTAAGAATTGGCTAGCTAGAAATATAAACTAGACCCCTGAATCATGAAATGGTCTTAAAATCACATGAAAGACAAACATTTCAAATTTTATATGTGTTCTTTTATAAAACTTCAAGACAATGTAAAATTTTAACTAAGTTTAAAACTCCATCAAGATCCTGGGGGCCAGAAGTCATTCATACATATCTCTGATAAGGCCAAACAAAAAAATATGTGTGGTTCCGGTTACACCTCCAAAAGAATTAGGGTAGGTAGGTAGGGAATTTTTTTTTTTTTAACAAAATGATTTTCTTAATTTTTCTAAATAATACTTATCACTACTTTGCAAATGACATTTAGATGTGGTGTGATAATATACTAGTCAATATTGGTAGGGGACACCTACATGTTAGCTTGCTTTGGATTTAACACTAATAAACACTTGCACTATTTTGTGCAAGGGGGCCGTCATTGCTGAAACTAAAACTTAAACCGGAGCCATTGATGGAAATTGGGGAAAATTCCGGAAAAAATATGAAAATTGCCAAATAAAAGTTTAGGGTCGGGGGTATAAAATAGGGACGGTCGGGTAACAGGAACCACACATATTTTTTTATTTGGCCTAAAGAAAAGAAAACATGTCTTAAGCTAACAAAGCTGTACAGTGTGTCTACAACGTTATAACAGAAAAGTTCCATGTACTATAAAATCTGTACAGGTTCCCCCAAAAAACTTTTACCTTTGGAACAGCCAGCCAGATAGGTAAATTGATAAGTAAGCTATAGCTGGGGACAAATAAAGCACCAAAAACATTCAGAAAGAGTACCGATATTTGGATTAAGGACATACGCAACATAGTTTGAACTTTATTGTCTTTTTCCCAGGAGTTGAAGAGTTCCAACACTTAAAGGAACTGTGTGCTACATTTTAATGTCTATATATGCTGTTCTATACTTCTTTTAAAACAAGTTTGGATAAACAAAACATCTAGAATATATGTTTAGTAATTTTTGTATATTTCTTTGAATTATACATGTACAAGAATTTTCATCATTGATATCTTTTCAAAACCCCTGGTAATGCATGCTGATTTTTTTTGTCTACAAACATCTGATGGCACTATAATCTTAAATTAAGAATATCTTGAAAAATTATCAGTAGGTAAGGTACGTTGCGTATGTCCTTAATCTAAATGGTTTCAAAATTCACACGTATTGACATCACTGAGAAAAAGACAATCAACCTGTTTCATTTGTAAACAAGTTGACTGGGTGCACAACCTTATTACAGCATGAAGTGGTTTTCATTTCTACACAGATGTAAATGTGCTAAATTAATCCTAAAACGATAAGATATATTGTCGGAGTCAACTTCTTGATATTTAAAATTACGATTTTTTGAATACTTAATTGCACTCTCTTCAACAATACCAATGAGTGTGATCAGATCTATACCCCGGTAAGTATTTTGTACAACATAAAAAGAGTATGAACCCCCTCCACTAGTAACTTCATCCTCTGGGCTAGCACCTCTGATTCTCTGATATTCTTTTGCAATGATCCAGCAATGTTGGGAGTAGTTCTAATGCAGCAATATGGACTTTTAACCAGATTTCATAAACGTGATTATAAACTGAATTTCAAAATTACATGTAGCAAAACAAGTACATGTGTATTAAAAAAAAAAAAACATCCCAATTTGCTTTAATACTGAATCATGGAGAATAAAACAATAGGGTAAAGAAAGCCCTCCATTATTTTTTTGTTTTCAACAGTCTTCAAAATGAGCATTGTATCTTTATCATAGTTGAGCATTTTGAAAAGCCATCTCAAAAAAGAATCCTTATTGTTGAGTCCATTCCTATCTACCAGATTGTTCATATGAAACAGACAGTCTGACTGACTGAATATCAAATCCAATCTGAAAGAAAAGAAAGACAAACTCTGATTGGCAGAATGTGTTAAACATCCTGATTGGTGAGATCCAGTGCTGAGCTGGGGCTTAACCCTCTGATTGGTTAGAGCCTATCCTGGTGCCAGATCCAGCGTTGACAACTTCTGTCAAAGCTATGAGTTAACCACTGCTGTTGGAGCAGATGATATCTCTCTTTGCTCAGGTACAGAGGCTTCCCTCTCCTGCAAAAAGAACAACATCTATTAATTCATAAATCTATTTTTAGTATCTGAATAGAGAAAAATTTCTTAGTTATTAAAGAGGGCTGGGTGGTCAACAAATTACCTAATAGATCCACCTATCAATATTTTTCTAGCCATTAACTATTATTTAGTTTTAAAAAAAACATAGGTAATCAAAGATTACAAAGCTCACCTCAACGAAGGTTATCTACAAGTAAGGCAAATCTCACATCATATTTTTACTAGACTAAGTTAGTGTTCATCCCAAGATCAATATCCATACAAGTTTGGTTTAAGAAGGACTTATAGATACTTGGAAATAGACCTGCTCAAAAAACTTTTAACCCTTTTACTAATCAAGAAAATTTTGGTCAGTTCCAACATCCAAAGCAAGTCTGGAAGTTTTCATCCTTAGATGCACCATCCATGCAAGTTTAATCATAACATGCCATAATATTATATAGCTACTCCAAAAAAATTACTCTGGTCACTCATCTGGAAAATGTTGGTCAGATTCAGAATCCAAAAAAGTCTGAAAGTGTCCATCCTAAGATACATCATTCATGCTAATTTGATTAAAATATGGCTAAAATTCACTCATCTGGAAATTCTAGGTCAGATCCAGCATCCGAGGCAAATGTGTTACTGTCCATCCTTAGATGCATCATCCATGCAAGTTTGGTTCAGGTAGGGCTTTTAGTTACTTGGGAATGGACTTGCTCCAAAAACTTTAACCTGGTCACTCATCTGGAAAATCTAGGTCAGATCCAGCATCCTAAGCAAGTTCGGTAGTGTCCATCCCTAGATGCATCATCCATGCAAGTTTGGTCCAGGTAGGGCTTATAGTTACTTGGGAATGGATCTGCTCCTAAAACTTTAACCTGGGACCCCGAAGCTAACGCTGACGCCAATGCCGGGGGTATAGCATAAGCTCATCTCGACTTCGTCGAGGTGAGCTAAAAATAAAGCACACATAATATTTAATGCAATGTCCTCAAATTTTTATAAAGAGCTCTTTTTTTCCAGGAGATTTAAATAGTCTGAAAATGACCATGTCCACCGAGCCCTCTAAAGTGTACTGTGCATGCATGCCAACTTTTGAAAATTCCCATGGGGGATTTTGTGCGTGACGACAACTTTCAAAGTTTTAAATTCGCGACATTTGTAGTGAAAATAAATGTTTATCCCATTCTTTTTTAATTTATAATATTGATATTACTTATTAATACAGCTTAAAGTCAAGGATTAATACACAAACAAAATTTTTCCTTCCAAAATTCAAATATCTTAATTTGCTTAAATAGGTGCCTCTCTCACTAAAGAAGTGATATCTGTTTAGTTAAACATTATTATGTTTGACCAAGACACATAATCTGGTGAAAAATGGGAAAATGCACAACTTTCAGTTCAATTACTTTTTTTGCTTTTTTTTTTGCAAAGTTTTAGAAATATATGAGATTTTGTTACTGTAAAGTTTCTGGGATTTTACACAATTAGAATTTCCTAATTAGATATTAAATTATTAAATTGAAAGAAATATCGAAAAATTGGAATGCATTTTGTGTGTGTGTGTGGGAGATAAGAAAATTTGTTTTTGGTATGTACCTTTAAATGTAAGTGTCATTTAATTCCCTATTATTATAATAAGTAGACATGATTAATTTTATCACACACAAAAAACAATTTGAAGATATAAATTTACTCTTAAGATCATCAATTATTTCACAGAAGGATACCCCCTATCCCAAACAAAAATTTGTGTGGGAATGCATTTTGTGTGTGTGTGTGGGAGATAAGAAAATTTGTTTTTGGTATGTACCTTTAAATGTAAGTGTCATTTAATTCCCTATTATTATAATAAGTAGACATGATTAATTTTATCACACACAAAAAATAATTTGAAGAAATAAATTTACTCTTAAGATCATCAATTATTTCACAGAAGGATACTCCCTATCCCAAACAAAAATTAAAATTGTTATTATAGTCATGATGAACTTTGCAGTCTTGGAAGTGTCATGTGGGTATTACCTTGTCATAACAAAGAAATACAAGGTATATCGCCTTTGGGGGGGGGGGGGGGGAGAGAGAGAAGAAATTCACTGTACTTGACTTTGTTGGTTCATTTTTAAATTATTTTCATCTTATTTTAACCGGTAAATTTTACAATATTTTTATTATAAGCAGATAAAACAGCAGGGATGCTTTGTAGTTTTCTACTTTCGTTTTTTAAAAAAAAAAACGATCTACATGGATTCTGATTATCATACCAATGTAATTAATTTTTGTTTTTAATAAATGATATTTAATTAACCCCTAAATCTATGTGTTTCACCATGCATACCCCTTCTAACTGAAAGTTTAATACCCTAACTGCTCCAGGCTATGTAAGTTACCTGTACCTGGACAGCTGTGTGCGTTCAAGCGAGAAGTGATTTCCTGTGGCTAATTAACACCTCTGCATGTGTTAATTTAACAATGAGACTAATTTGTGTGCATTGAATAAACAAGTTCGATATTATAATCCCGATTGACAAAATATGGTGGTAGAGAAATAATGAAAATCGGAAATTTTAGGGTGAATTTTTCAAATCCGGATTTTAGGGCAATTTTGCTCTCCCGATCGGGAAAGCGGGATCAAAGGGTAAAATCGGGAGGATCCCGCCTAAATCGGGAAAGTTGGCATGTATGACTGTGACTTACTTAAGGTCACGATCCTCCTCCCCATGGTCATCCAAATACACAGACCCCCAGAGTGTAGCACGTGGACCGCGAATTACCACCACAATCGTAGAGTTTATTAGCAGAAACATCCCTGTACCTGCCCCACACTGAATGGAATGCTGAAATATGAAATGTCAAATTAACCAACCATCACACAAAGTTTCATGGAAAAATTACTAGAAAGCAAATCAAAGAATTTACTTATTCATTTAAAAACCTACAGATAAAAATGTTTAACAAATTCTGCATGCCATGTAGTTTACTCTTAAGACAAGTTACATACACAATGTTATGGTCTGATTTTTCATTAATTTTACACATCAAAATCTTCCGGAGACTAAGAATGCATCAAATTAAAATTTTTAATGAAATGGCCAACACTTAATTAAAACTATAAAAAATGAAACACACATACATGCATGTGGGATTGTTTTATCCTCATTCTTTTGAAAAGGAAAAAAGAGAGTATTTTCATGTTTACAATCTTAGTTGGCTAAAAAAATCTGTTTATATTACTTACATGAACACACTCAGAGACCCCCTGCTGTGTACAGCAATTTTGTCTGAAACAGGTGTACTGTCCACACACTAGACAGATGGCCGGGTCATTAGGTACCTCCCCACACGTCACGCATGGCTTCTGGCTGTAAGCCTGGAAGATCAGGTAGTATTGATGGGGCAGTTCAATCAACTGTGGACGGCTCCAGTTTGTGTTAGCCATCAGGAGGGACTGAAATCAAACAACATGTCTCTTTTTAATATTTAACACTGCTCTATACATGAAAGATACATGTACATTGCTCGTATTTGAATTTACATGAATAGTCTTAGTTGAACAAAATTCATTCAGTAATCTTTTTCCATTCTTACCAAAAAATATTTTGGCTTCCTTTGTACACTAATCTCTAAGAAATTTATAATCATTTGATTATTCAACAAAATGGACATGTTTTCCAAGAAAACTTTCCTAGGCATGACCTCTAACCTTGAAATCCACTGGTTCCTGATTGGCTACATTGGCTAGGTCTGTACACCAAGCTCGGGTCAGATTGAGCGGTTCCTCAGTTGTCCACCTTACACGTGATGAGCAGGTACTCTGACCATCATTGTGGGAGGGGCCAGTACCCTGGATCCTAAGATAATCACACAGGTGTAGGAACTCGCAATCAGAGAACTGAAACAAATAAAATATCAATTCATTCACTCGCACAAAATATAAAACTACAACAAGAGAAATCTTGAATTGTTTCCTTTTTTTGTTTTTTTTTATTTTACTCATTTACTAAAAATAGACTTCATCGATTAACAGAAAATCAAAAAATCAATAAACTGAACATGTAGAAGTAAATTATTTTCTACAAGTTTTTTAAGTAATTCTTTGATTTTCTGCAATCTTGACACTGCAGCTCTAAGTATCAAACAGTGGATGATTGTAAAGAACTGACCATTTGTTTGGGAAATTCCACATTAAATAAGTGATACTTGAGCAGGGCGGCCACCCGGAGGAATGGCAGAAATATGTCCTGTATGGCCATGTCCACACTCTGAGGTGACCAGACACTCTGACATATCTACAATAAAATTATACTTTGATCATTCTATAATGTATCTTAAAATTCAAATTGGTATTAGCACCTATAACGCATACATAGTTATTTTTGCCCAGTGTATTTAGCCCTCTCACACTTGCAAACAGTTTTGCCCCATTTAAAGTTTGCCCATTCACAGTTGTGTTAAAGAGATAACTTTTGTCTTCATTGAATTTTCCCCTCTTAAATTTACCCACTTGCAACATATAACAGTGCATTTTTCATTTTTTTTCTACTAGAACTTTTTTTGATAATGAAATGAGTGGCAGTGAAAATAATCTGATCTTACTGCAGGAATATCTTTGTCCATATCAATGTCGTCATAAACCCGACTCAGCTGTAGACGCGTGATCACATGACTCATCATTCCTTCCAATGATGTCAGCTGGGACTATAAAAAGACATGTTATTAACAATGATTATATTATTATGGGACTCTGTATTAACTTTCAAGCATGACCACATTTTTCTATATGAAGATCATTGTTCACGATAGGACATCCACACTTACATGTCTTCCCTTTTTCCTCCATGCCTCTCTCTCCTCCGACGTAAACGTACAGCTGGTGGTAGCTATAGCTTTGATGTACACAACATTGTACAGGACTCTTAACACACTCTCAAAGTGTTCTATACAAAAAAAAAAAAAACAATACATCTTCTATGCTTGAAAAGAACTAATAACTACATGTATAATACATATCTTTTATATTCTCTCAAGAGAAGGATATAAGAATGAAAATATTGTTTATGTTTATTTTTGTTGTATAATGCATCAATGAAACATCAATTTAGACAATAATTTGTTTACACTGAACATTACCTATTTCCATTGTGGATGGCAGAGTTAACAAGATCTGTATAAGGAGAGACACGGGGTCCTTCAGTAAAAGTGGGACTTCTTTATGATACAAGGAAACACTAAAATGTAATTACACAACAATGTAAAATGTGTAAAAAGACATCTGATCTAATTTGTTGAACTGTCTGTGTGTTGAAACCAACTCAGGCAAGAGTCATGCATGATTGAAGACATGTATACACATTTGATTTCTATTGGTTTCTCAAGAGTACTCAGACCATTAACACATGACCAGAAGTCTAAGTAAATATTTGCTTACCTATCAGTCTGTTCAGAACGGCATAAGCCAGTCATGTGTGACCAGAGATCAGTATAGGGTTTGGTAGTCAGAATTTTACTGTGCATGCTGAGAACATGGTATGTTGGCACTGAAATACGAAATCACATTCAAATACCAGAAAATATCATTTTATCAAGTAAAACCAAACCTCAACACACTTCTTTTCTTATTAAAACCCTCATTTTCATATAAGTGACCCTGTAAAAAAACTCACAGAAGCAGCGTTTTCCTGACTGAGACGTGGACTCTATAAGAACTTTCCCTCTGTTGACTAGCTCCATCTCTAGGTTTGTCCTACAAAATCATTCAATTTAAATCAAAAAGTTTGTAAAAACATCACACAACATTTATCAAATCCCCACAGAAAATATGAACAAAAGCTTTCATTTGCTCTCTGACAACAGAGAATACTTCAGAATTATTTTTATATGCTCTCTTACTGATTAGATATTAAACTTCAAGTGATAACAAAGTATAAATTGCATATTTTTAAATAAGAGAACCAGTCTAACCTGGCAACAGAACAAACAAAGAGTAGCACACTCTCTGAGGTCTGGGAACTAGTGTAGGTCTTAAACTTCCCATAGGTGGCATTTGTCAGGTCCTCCATGACACTGCCCATCACTTTAGTAAGGTTAGGGGATCTCTGAAAGTGTTCATAGCAAGGTTAGGGGATCTCTGAAAGTGTTCATAGCAAGGTTAGGGGGTGTCTAAAAGTGTTCATAGCAAGGTTAGGGGAACTCTAAAAGTGTTCCTAGCAAGGTTTGGGGGTGTCTGAAAGTGTTCATAGAAAGGTTAGGGGAACTCTGAAAGTGTTCCTAGCAAGGTTTGGGGGTCTCTGAAAGTGTTCATAGAAAGGTTAGGGGATCTCTGAAAGTGTTCATTGTAAGGTTAGGGATCTCTGAAAGTGTTCATAGTAAAGTTAGGGGATTTCTGAAAGTGTTCATAGTAAGGTATGGGGATCTCTGAAAGTGTTCATTACAAAGTGAGGGGAACTCTGGAAGTGTTCAAAGAAAGGTTAGGGGATTTTTGAAAGTGTTCATAGTAAAGTTAGGGACCTCTGAAAATGTTCATAGTAAAGTTAGGGGATATCTGAAAGTATTCATAGAAAGGTTAGGGGATCTCTGAAAGTGTTCATAACAAAGTAAGGAGATCTCTTAAAGTGTTCACAGCAAGGTTAGGGAATCTCTGAAAGTGTTCAAAGTAAGGTTAAAGGATCTCTGAAAGTGTTCCTAGCAAGGTTAGGGGGTGTCTGAAAGTGTTCATAGAAAGGTTAGGGGATCTCTAAAAGTGTTCCTAGCAAGGTTTGGGGGTCTCTGAAAGTGTTCCAAGAAAGGTTAGGGGAACTCTGAAAATGTTCCTAGCAAGGTTTGGGGGTCTCTCTGAAAGTGTTCATAGAAAGGTTAGAGGATCTCTGAAAATGTTCATAGTAAAGTTAGGGGATTTCTAAAAGTGTTTAAAGTAAGGTTTGGGGATCTCTGAAAGTGTTCATTACAACGTTAGGGGATCTCTGAAAGTGTTCATAGAAAGGTTAAGGGATCATTACAAGGTTATGAAATCTCTGAAAGTGTTCATAGCAAGGTTTGGGGATCTCTGAAAGTGTTCATAGTAGGTTAGGGGTCCTTGAAAGTGTTCATAACAAGGTTAGGGGATCTCTGAAAGTGTTCATAGTAAGGTTAGGGGTGTCTAAAAGTGTTCATAGCAAGGTTAGGGGAACTCTGAAAGTGTTCCTAGCAAGGTTTGGGGGGTCTCTGAAAGTGTTCATAGAAAGGTTAGGGGAACTCTGAAAGTGTTCCTAGCAAGGTTAGGGGGTGTCTGAAAGTGTTCATAGAAAGGTTAGGGGAACTCTGAAAGTGTTCCTAGCAAGGTTAGGGGATCTCTAAAAGTGTTCCTAGCAAGGTTAGGGGATCTCTGAAAGTGTTCATAGTAAGGTTAAGGGATCTCTGAAAGTGTTCATAGTAAAGTTAGGGGATTTCTGAAAGTGTTCATAGTAAGGTATGGGGATCTCTGAAAGTGTTCATAGTAAGGTTAGGGATCTCTGAAAGTCTTCATAGTAAGGTATGGGGATCTCTGAAAGTGTTCATAACAAAGTTACAAAGTTAGGGGATCTCTGAAAGTGTTCATTAAATGTTAGGGGATCTTTAAAAGTGTTCCTAGCAAGGTTAGGGGATCTCTGAAAGTGTTCATAGTAAGGTTAAGGGATCTCTGAAAGTGTTCATAGTAAGGTATGGGGATCTCTGAAAGTGTTCATAACAAAGTTACAAAGTTAGGGGATCTCTGAAAGTGTTCATTAAATGTTAGGGGATCTCTGAAAGTGTTCATAGCAAGGTTAGAGAGTATCTGAAAGTGTTCATAACAGGGTTAATGGTATCTGAAAGTGTTCATAGCAAGGTTAGGGGATCTCTGAAAGTGTTCATAGTAGGTTAGGGGTCCTTGAAAGTGTTCATAACAAGGTTAGGGGATCTCTGAATGTGTTCATAGTAAGGTTAGGGGGTCTCTGAAAGAGTTTGACATGTCTTTTGTATATTGAAAATTAAGTAACTTCTCACACATTTAGCATTTTAAACTCTACATGGTTACACATTTAAACTATAAATGGAAAAAAAAATTTAAATCATCTTACGATATTAATAAATAACTATACTTCAAACTTAAAGGTCTTAATCTTTGCTAATGACTAGGAATTTCTGACAAATTCAATGCTCAGTCAAGTCAGTGCTAATGATTTGCTAGACATACAGGTGTTATGGGTCTGGAGACCATCATTTCAGCTACGTCTTTAATCAGTTGCTGGGGATCAGGAGACAAGGGCCTCTTCACAGTAAACTGGTCCTCCTCTGGAGGAATTGGAATCACAGAGTTAGCAAGCTGTCGACAAAGGGGGCACCAGTATTCTCCTTTGTTGACAGCCAAGTTTCCTGTCATCTCCTGAGTCTGTTCCATAAAAAACAAGAGAATTCTAATATAGTTTAAAATGTCATATCAATGGTACTGTATATATTGTATATTATATGATGAAAAAAGTGCAAACTGACTGCATGGAAACAAAAAAACTTCCTCTACAATTAGTTTTATTTTAAATGTACCTATACAACAAACAAAATCATGCAACATGTCCAAGATTTCAAAGACAACTTTACCCATCTGTAATTCAATAAGTTATCAAAATTTCTAACAAGATTTTCAAATTTCTCTGTTTACTTCCACAAATTTTGAAGAGAATCTTCAGTACATGTAACAAACATCTGGTGAACTGACCCTGAGAGACAACAGATACGAGCTGTGACAGTCCAGGTGTAGATAGTGACCACAGGTCTGAATGACCACTCCTCCCTCCCAGCCAATGTTCACTGACACTTGACACGAGCTCTGACAAACAGAAAATCATCACTCTTCTGAAAACTTTGATGATTCTTATAATAAATGGGTTTGATAAACAACCATATGTAAATAATCAGTATTATTTCTTTTTTGTCCAATTTTACCTCAAAGCCATTTTTAATGCACAATTAAGGATATTGATCAAGGAGGTTTCTTAAAGATGTACAAACTTCAACTGAATCTAGTGTGTACACATTTTTACAAGATATTCCATGATGAATGAAGCATTCCAACCTTGAACTTTATGTATATCATGTATAAAATATGAGGCATTATTGTAATACATATAATTATTACATATGTACATGCATACTGAGCTTACACTGTCTATCCAGTATTGTATATTCTGAATATGCCAAATGTAAACATTAGTATCTTTTACCTCTTCAAAGTGCTCAAACATGGTTTTGAGCTGCTGTTTCTGGACAGAGGCACATGAGATGTGTGAATAGAGCTGTTGATCCTTCTTCAAGGGCAGACTGATCACATCATTCTCCTGTAGACGGTGTCCCAACACTAAAATTAACACCATACTTTACATACATTCATCTTGTACATGGATCATCCTCAAGATTTTCAGTAAACATTGAAGTTTCTTCCTATGCTAAACAAAGTCAAAATTGGAAGGTATCACCTTAAGGTTTAAAATTCTTATGAGTGGTCACTCAGTGATATTCAACATGTGTTGGTGATCTACTCAATTTTTCTGATTTTATGTTTCTCCCCATGCTAGAAGTCTGCATACATTGAATTAACCTGTAAGTTAATCTTAAAAATCTACAACAACCTTAATGTCAGGGTTCGAAATTCACTATATACAACTCACAAAACACAAGTTAGAATTCCCAAATTGCGAGTTAAAAATTAGGTAACTCGCAAAAACTTGCGAGTTGATTTTTTTTGCATTGAAACTGTATCAAAAATATATAATATGACAGGATACAATGCTTTTGATTTAAATCAGTAATTCAACTAAAAGTCACACTGTAGTTGTATTTTGTGTATTGTACAGTAGTTACTTTTTCTTTAAGGTCAAGATCTAGTAAATGACTCTAGACAGTAGATTCATTATGACGTCATAATCAATTTAAACTTTCTTTTTTCCCGTACTTTATGTCTCTAATAGAATTATGCAGAAAATGAATCATTTTCATGGAATTCAATTTGAAATTATCTGAAAAGTAATCCCGTTACCCATATTTAATTTATCATTATTTTAAAGAAGAGGCGAAATACATATAAATTACCATTTTCTGAGAGACTGTAGACAATCTGGATATATTTTCTTCGTCTGATATGGAAAAAAACTCCCGTATTCATAACTGGTTTTCTCAATTTGTTATTGAAAATAACAGTTTATATGAATTTTATCTTGTTTACCTACAAATTATGGCCCGAAACACTTATTTGACCAAGCTTAAGTTATAAAGCATCATTAAAGGAATTTATTTCTCAAATTTGAGAAATCTGTAGGCACCTTTCATTTACTAGATCTTGACCTTAAGTTACATGTATTTAATTTATATAAATTTAACTTTATATGAAAATTGCGAGTAGTCTCACAAAATTGCGAGTTCACTTTCTTGGTACTCGCAATTACATGTATTTGCGAGTTGTAATTTTAGGGAGTTTCTAACCCTGTTAATTACCACAGAGATACAGTAACATGTCACAAGTAAAAAGATGGATAAAACTTGTAAAAGTATATCTTTTAATACACACCTGAGATTCAGGCCAAACACAAAGTCTGGTTTTGATTTTCATTGTTAAGCTATAGGGAGACATTAACCAGCAGTCTTTTATCTAGAGGTACTCACCACTACTTGGCTGTAGAAGCACCACTAGACCCATCGTCTTCTCGGCGGTAGAGGGTGACGTGGTTCCACAGATGACACAATCATACTCCTTAACTCGCTGACTGCCTCTGGTCTCCTGCGGAATCTCTGTGGAGGACGTGTCACTCGTAACCTCATTCTCATCATCTACAAAAGTTTTCACTCTCAAATTTTATTTCATCTTTGGAATATAAAATAATATTGTTGTTTTCCTCCTGCACATCAATCACAAATATCTTCTTGGTGTGGATGCTTTTAGCTATAAAAATTATATTAAAATAAATCAAAATGAACCAAATATTTTAGCACAGTAGTTTCATTTTATAGTCTAAGAAATTATAGAATTAATCTTCATGACTAATTAATATCATGTATTTAATTTGATTCTTAATTAAGAATTCATATAGCTTCAAATAAAAGAGTTTCTTACTTGCCAACAGGTGATTACTATTTTTTTTTGCATTTTAGGCACATTGCAATTATTGAAAATTCTAGATCTCTTCCAGCAATCATGTGAAAATACTGATAACACCAGTTAATCATAGCTGATAATAAATGGTTTTGTTGTGTGTGTGTGTGTGGGGTGGGGGGGATCAGGCTCACTCGTAAACAAACCTGACACAGGATGAAGATTGTGCTCCATGAAAGCTTTCTGTTTGGAGGCAAATTTGTTCATGAGTTTCTGTTGCCTCTCTCTGGCCTTTCTCCTCCTGTAAAAGTCACAAAACTTTTATCCATAATACTTTTGATTTTATTAATACATTGAAAACCATTCTAATTCCATTATATTTACAGGGATATCCCCTAAAATAAATCCACATCCATTGCACCTTGCCATCATCTCTTCAACCTTACAATTCTTCATGAAAATATTTCTGATGTTCAGCAGAGAATAATTAATGACAGATATCTAACCTCTCTTCATCTTTGGCTGTGTCTCGTTTTTTCCCCACCCCCGATGCCTCCTTTGGCTGTAGAGACCTGTAAACCTCCTCAATGGCACGTGCACACTCCGTACTGCTCCGTGACATTTTGTCCAGGAGCTTACACAGAAAAAAAGGTCCATCTCCTATCACAGAATCAGACAACTGTCGCTTAGACTGAGACAAAGGAACATAGGAACAAGATCGCCCAGTCAGTTTGGCATGGATTTTCATGAGAATGCTTATAATACATTCATTGATTGGGACACACAGTTTTTGAGCATGCTCAGTGGAGACTCCTCTGTTTTCGTATTTTGGCACAGAATCAGTTTTTCCAGTGGCCTGGTGAGACTTGTGTGTCACCAGGTGGCAGTGTCCAGATACAGGGACGGGAACCAGACTTGTGGGAACAGCTCCAGAGTGGGCCGCCGTGATTGGACCAGCCGTATCTACAGATAAACCAATGGTCAGTGATTTCATTTTACATCCAGTTACTTCACTGATTACTACAAATATGGCCATGCAGGGTCAGTGAGAAAAAGACATGCACTTATTCTATCTGACCTCTACAAATAAAACCCTAACTTAGTCAGTAGATAAAATTAATTCACAGCCTTCTCATGAGGCATTCCATATAAAAAATTTACATCTTAAAGGATTTTCAAAAATGTACTTCTAAAGTTTACATTTGTAAATCTCTGCATTTTTGGCTGGAATTTATCTAACAAATATATACTATTCTGGTTGAGTACTGCTGGTTTGAACTCTTATGACATTGCACTTTCAAAAATTTGAAAAAAATTGTTACATTGCAATAGCTAATGGTTTATCTTCAATACCTGACAGAATAAATAATAAAATTATAAATATATAAACATTCACTAGCAAGTTTTGAGTACATGTATATTACTGGATCTTAAATTCCTGAGATAAAGAAATGTTACAAAAGAAGATCTTTTTCATCTTTTTCAGCTACATTGTAACTTGGAAAACTAATTTTCACTTCCTTGGATTCACAAACAATCTTAAAACCATGGATATTCAGTCACTTACTCATCATGGCACTGGGAGCCATTTGGAACATTTCCTCTAGAGTGGAGAGAGACGATGGCAGGAAGTCCTCGACCAGGACCGGAATCAACACTTCCTTCACGACCTCGCGGACGTTCTGTTGGATGCTGGTACCACAGAACCAGTCATGATAATCCACATCCGTTACACTTCCACAGAACGACTTGTTAAACTGAGAAAGTAAATATACAAGTTCAGAATCAGAAATATCTACCAACTTCAATTTTCAAATATCTGAAAGAAATCTTTCAGTTGTTTAATTTTCTGTCCCATGTTCAGGATGAATGATTCAAAACATCTCCAAAATTAGGTCATTAGATCTTTAAAATTCATACACACATACAGGTATGCATATTTTACTTGAAATTTGTACAGGATATATATTTTCACCTTTATACATGTTACTTCATACAGTGTATACATTGTGTGTACATGTATATTTTACCTTTCTACAGGTATCAGGAGAAGGCAAGGTAAAAGCAAGGTCAAGGAGGTGTACAGTGTTGTACAAAATGCTGTCTGGAATGCTGGTTTCCTTCATGAACTGATAGAAACAGATATAAACCCATTATAAAGACTACATTACAAAGGACTGAAAAAAAAATCATCTTAGGACAGTAAAGCCATATCATACTTGAGCTCAAAAGTTACTTGCCAAAAGCAATTCCATGAACTTAACAACAGAAAATTCAGTATCTCTAACACCAATATCTTGAATACCATGGACATGTCACAGTGATTTTGAAATCTCATCTACTTATTCAGTAAGTATTCTACCCTCAATATCTCAAAAATTTTTCTCAGGTCCATCAAGTGCAAGAAAATGAGGTTTGACTGTAGTAAGTTTTGACTTACCCTGTATAGAACTGTGAAGAGAAATGCATGCATCGTTCTACAATGAAGAAGTCTGTACAGGTCTTTGTATGCAGGAGAAATTTTCCCTGGGGGTCTGAATGGTGGCCAGGGAGGAGTCTTGGACTTGTATTTCCCAGACTGTCTTATGCTGTAAATAAGGTGAAAGAAGCAATAAGAAAATGCCTTTTGAATGGTGGCTTGATAATTGAATGCATGTACAATTACCGAGATTAATTACAAAAATATCTCCAGCTGAAATTTACATTTAATTTGTAGTATAACTTACTGCTCTGTGTATCTGTCTAGTGCTGTCTGTATGTCTTTCTTGTAGAGAGCTCTAAGGGACACATGGACTGGATCAAATTCCTTTTCCCAAACAAATCCTAAAAATCAACAATATTGTTAACAATGGTCTTCATATACTAAGTTATTTTAATTCTGGCTTTACAAGCCTCTATGAAGAACATAATTTAAGCTTTACCAAGTACTTTTCACTTGAAATAGTAATCCTATGTGTAAATATAAGAGATAGGTGAGATTACTATAAATGGATAATGTAGGTTCTTACATTTATGAGGTTAAACTCTGACTCAAACAAGCTGTCTACTTAATATTCATCATAGAGATACCTTTGGCAACTTTTAATTTGGATACATTTAGGTGTACATGTCCCCTGCAGTCAAGATGAATATTTAACTTACATGTGTATGCCCCCCCCCCCCCCTCCTTTTGGGAGACAGGATGTATATTTACCTTTAGGTGTGTACGTTCCCTGCTGAAGACCTCCACTAGACTCCAAGTTTGGTGCCTTGTAATCAGCTATCTATAATAGAAAATTAAGATTTACACATTAAATACAGGTACATTTATGGGGTTCTTGGTAAACCTACCTTCATATACTTTTTTAACCAAAAAATGAACCACTCAGAGAATATTGCATTGATAATTACATGTCCCCTACTGGCCAAAGCAAATTTAAACATTGTACAATCATTTATCATTGATACTTGAAGCTATGATTCTAAAAATTCAAAAGGCATGTGCAATATAGGCAACAGTCACACTACAAGTTATGGGATAAGTATCTGACCTGCAGTTTTAGTCAACCAGTCAATGACTGACACAGTATACAGATCAGATGAATGCTATCAAGCTCTTGATACAATCCTTACCATGACCAGTTTGGTTACAACATAACCTCATTAAATACCACTTACCTCAGCAAGGGTGGGCTCAAACAATTCCTTCTGCCCTGTGATGCCAGACCTCTCCGGCATGGAATCCATTATTTGACTGTGTGGCTTGTCCCCAAAACACAGAATGGTGGCCATCTCCAGGTGTGTCAGCTCCTTCTCAGTGATACCTAAAAATAGTAACACTTCTTCGTATCATTTGCTGAATGTCCAGTTTTATTCAATTTTGTGGTTGTCAAAATCACAAAGAAAGAGATACTGTATACAGGATTATCCCCCCACCCCTGTCCTGGTAATTTTTGCCCTATCACAAATACAAAATACATATGCCTTGTTTTAAATTTGCCCAGTCATACAGTAGTGTTAACAGAAAAAAGATAACTTTGTTCTTGTATGAAATTACACTCGAACTCACTTACACTGAACTCTCTATTTGAAAAATTGATTAGTTTGACATGAATTTGGTTTCCCCTAAAAAACTAGTACAGTTTCTTAATAATAAAAACTTGTTTATTGAAATTGGTTAAATTGAAAAACTCTGATAATTTGAAGTGATTTTGGGGTCTGCTGAACACAAAGCGTGTTTATTTAATAATGGTTACATTGAAGATGCTGATTGCGACGCATGGACACAGGTGATTAATTATATACAAAGTCTATCACGTGTAAATTTTTCACCCTCAGTGGACTCTTGTAAAAATTTAATTATGTCTTGTAATAATAAAACAACAATTGTACATTTCTCGCTAGAACATATTGGTTCTCTTTTATTTTCTAACTATGGCATTAAGACTGACATGGCTAAAATATCTACATTTTACATGTAACTCATGGCACAGGGATATAATGAAATTAGGTAAATTTTAAATAAATCTCAAGGTACCTTAAATTTCAATGTAAACGTGTTTGACTGTATTCTGTTTTGAATTCCTACTGGCAAAGACGATAGAAATAAAATGAGGGCAAAAAACTTCCCTGTATAGAGTAATAATAAATGAGCTACATTCTTTGTCTTTGAAATTCACCATAAATACCCTGGAAAGGATATCAAACAATACACAATCATATTCCTTACCTAAGTAAGTTCTGACCCCCAGCAGTGTTGTGAAGAACTGGAGAATAGCATCCACCATTGCTATCTGTTGTTCAGGCTCCAGCTTAAAGCTGGTGTTGATTGGAGTTGAGCCAAAGGTCAACCAATTCTCAATATGAAATCTGTATCAAGTTAACATCAGATTGATTGAATTGGTTATTGTAATACATTATCGAATATACTTGAATGTTACGATACAAAGGATACGAAACTCAATTGTCCGGCTCTGGGGAAAATATATGGAATAGGTATTTGAATTAAAATATATCCATTTTAAAATTTGAGCCAATTTTATTAGTGCTTTCTACAGTATATACTACATAAATACATGTACTGTATGTGGTTGAGGGTAACATTGAAAATTTACATCCCAAGAAAACCATTGTCAACTGACAATGGTTTTTCAGGGGTGAAAACTTTCAATAATATCCTCAACTACTTGCAGCATTAATTATATTATAAGGAATGTTTCATACAAGTACAAATAATGGTGAACTGTGCAAGCATAGATTCCATGCATTCAACATTGTTTTTCAACAAATGCTTCTCGACTAATGAATTCAACTCATTTACATGAACGTATAACATCAGTAAATACTGAAGAATCTCACCTTTCCATTACTGTTCTCACAAAGTAGTCAGGGTCAAATTTACAGGCACAAAGCTGAAACAGCCAAAACCTCAAACTGTACACCCAAAGTACATATTCACAAAGAAGAATACAAAAAAGGTTAATCTATTTCTTTCTCTGAATTTCACATTTGCTATGATGATATGCTAAAGGTTACAAGTACCTGCATCAGATATAGGTCAGCATCTCCCATGGAGTAACAGAAGTGACACTGAATGTAAGTCATGGCTTGACCTTTGATCTGAATTCCATTTCTGACCCACATAGAGGTGTATATCTCTGCCAGACAGACCTACATTGTATGGAACAAACAAGTTTTTTTTATTAGAGTAGAGAGACAGTACATACAGTCAAACACTGTAATAAGGAATTGACATGGATAGCTAAAAAATACATTGTTTTGTTATATCCATAATTCATATTTAGTTTAAAATAATTCTTTACTTTTTGGAATGGGATGTAAAAAGCTTTGATTTTCCTTAATTGCTTTTTTTTTTAATTTTAATAAAGTAAATACAGGAAGTATTTTATTCATTCAATCATCAAAAGTACCTCCCTACAATATTCACTAACAAAAATTAATACTACATGTACATGATCCTGTGTATGTATAATATTTACCTGTATTTGTAAGAGATGTGTAAAGGTCATCTTTAGGACTTTCTCAGTCAGTGGGAGGTTGTCAAAGGTCAACTTATGATGAGTAATCCCAGTCTCTATGAATGTTGCTAGGTAACGATGAAGAGGAAGGTGAAAGGTCAGCTGGTAAGGATTTGGCTAAAAAAAAAACCACACACACAAGTTGACTTTAAGCACACAACAGTTATTACTGATTGACTCCTTTACTCACTGTTTAACTGAACTTTACATCTTAGAAATTGACTTTCACATACATCGACCTTTGTGTACTACTTGCATTTCTGTACTTTCAGACCTTTGAATACTTTGTCACTGACCTTTGTAGACTCTTTACAGTTGATGGCATCAAACCAGTCCTGGAGAGCATCCACACAGACTTTGATCATGTTCAATACATGGTCTTTACTGTCCTACAAACAAATAAGAATTCTATCAAACAAGAGACTCAATAAAATTACAAAATAACAACTCAATCTGTTCTTTTGAATAACTTCCTTTGTTTAATTTGTAAAATGTCTTGTCAACTTGGAGTCAGTGTCCTTATAACTACCTTCAACACCAAACTGAAGAGTAAACTTAAGCTCAGATATATGTACATGTAGTTATGTAAAACACAGCATTCTGTTGGATGAATTTACATGTAAATATTTACACTTCTGCACAATATATTGATGAAGTTTGTAAAATGATAGAAATGTAACAGTCTCTTACTGGGGTTTTACAGTGAGATATGAGGGACCACATGGGTGCTGAAGCAATCTCGAGTTCTGCTGAAAAAGCAGCATAGTAGGTCTCAGACTCGAACTCAACATGTTGACTGAGTTCACGGTGGTTGAGATTCATTCCTTGGAAATACGACAGAAGATCCAACCACATAACCACCAGTTTGCTGTCAGAGAGAAATTTGTGAGCCACCTTTTTATGGGCCAATAGATTGATAAAATCGCTGACTATGGGCCAGTAGATGTGCTCCTTCATAATATCATTGGTACAATCCACCACCATGTGGAAGTTCAGTCGGAAATCTGTAAAAAAAGGAATAAAGACCATTCCAAAATGAATTTTGACATTCATTTCCAACTGTATTGAATATGCAAATCAGTTGCAGAAGTGTGGAGCTAAAACTAGAACTCTCCAATACACCATTCTCTATACTAACCCTCTACTGAATTTTTTTAAGAGTTACTAGCTCGAATACTATCTTCTTGTTAACTCTTCATTTAACTAAATTACTCTCTCCACTAATACTCCAATGAACTTTTCAGAAGAGACTTCTCTATATATTATCCCTCTACAAAACTGTTAAGTATTCTCTGTGCTAACCCTATAGTGAACTATCAGTTAGTGTTATCTCTATACTAACCCTCTAGTGAACTCTCCAGTAGTGGTATCTCTATACTAACCCTCTAGTGATCTCTCCAGTAGTGGTATCTCTATACTATCCCTCTAGTGATCTCTCCAGAAGAGCTATCTCTATACTATCCCTCTAGTGAACTCTCCTTTAGATTTACCTATATTAACCCCATAGTGAACTCTCCAGTAGAGATATCTCTATACTAACCCTCTAGTGAACTCTCCAGTAGAGTATTCTCTATCATGTGGGTGAGGCTGATGATGAGTGTGTACAGTAAGTTGTACTCCTGCACCATCTGACAGGCCAATCTCTCATTACTGAACAATTGGACGCTGATGTGGACGACCCGATTCCCAATCTCTGTCCGCTTCAGACCCTTCACCAGGACCAGGGATATCCTGCTGTAGTGCTTCACAAATGCCTTAGTAAATGCCTCCTGTTTACAAAATAGAAATTCATTGATTCAAAATTTCTTTGACCATTTTTAGCTTTCTAGTTAGTACGTCTGTTGAACATCATTTTCTTGATTATTTTCAAATAAGTGGAATGACAGGGAAATGTTAAATACTAGGTATACATTGAAAGGAATTGACAGCCCATACTATCACTGAGAGTCACTAGTGAAAATACAAATGGCATCATCTATCTCCAACCTTCCGATATTTCAAAGTTTTCTGAGAGTCCCATGAATAAAATTTTGAGGCTTGACTGTATTTGCCATTGCAGCAAATTTTACATAGAACAGTTACACAAACTATCATACAAAGTGAATGTCTATAAATGGTCTACAAAGGAAACTATAAACCTGTAGATCAGATATTGTTAGCCTGTCTTTATAATTCCTTTTGTGTTCTTATCCATATACTGAAAGTACAAAATTCTACTACAGGGTGACCAACATGTACTTGCTAAATCACTCTATTGTTACAAAAACCCTACCTTATAGTGGTCATCTGGCAAAAGACTTAACAGCAGAGTGACCAGCTTCTCTGGAAACTCATACTTGACCATCCAAAAAACCAGTTCATCCAGTAAACAGTTGTGATGTAACTCTTGGGACAGGCCGGGTAATCCTGTAGTCAATAATAAACCACTTTACATATAATCAGAAGTTAAATGTAATACAACTACATGTGTATGCAAACATATTAATGTGTACTCTGTTCCTAATATTAATATTAAACTACTTTTTGTAATGATCAACTTTAAAAAGAACTGCTGTAAAAACACAAGACAATAAAATATGAAAATGAACTTAAAGCACACAACAGTAAGGTAAGCACTTTAATTTAAAAACTGGTTATTAAAGTGTGATCGACTTTAAACACTTAACAATAAATCTCATAATTAATTGCAGACTTGCAAAATGCTGCTAAAATCTAAATAAGAAATGGATGCTTTCCCTACTCCACTTTATTTTTTTGTTTACATACGGTCAAAGTCCTCGAATCCCTTAGGAACACTAAGACTATTTAGTTCCATTTTGTAGTTTTTCTGGCTGTCCACAAAGTAACTGTTGGAGAAATCTGGCAATTCCTCAACTATGACAATATAAAAATGTAACTTATTTTAAATTACAAGCATCGTCTAATAGTCTATTAAAAAATTCCTTGTCTCAATACTGGTTAATACAGATATAAGTACCAATTACCTAAAGACTTATTTGAAAATGTCTCAAACATTTACTGTACAAAAAACATTTAACAAATTTTACATTTCACTAAGACAATAGTCATGGAGGTTGAAAAATCCATTTGAATGTTTCAGTCACAAAGTGGCCTCAATTAGTGAACTTGTTAATAGCATCAATCAGTTTTAATTTGAAAAGATTGCACTTGTAAATGTATATTATGCAAGATATTTGATAAATCTGAATGAAAAGTGTTTCAGTGTTAAATTCACAGATTGAAAAGTAATGCAATACGTTTTCAAGTTTTACCTGAACTTACAGTTTGCTTTTAAGATCTCTGTTTTTCTACATATAATTTTGACTAATCTGACAATTTCTTTTTTTTATTTTGGGGATCAGATAGATGAAACTGAATCCAATATCTTGGCATTTCTTACCTTCTGTTAAATATTTATACATAGTAGTGTTTGTCAAAGCTAGTCCCATTACTTTCCGCATGGCTGCACCCATATCACTTAAACTATGTAGAAAAGACAGGAAGTGCTCTGCATCATTCATTGCCAGACTGAATGTATCCCGGTATGCTGTTGAGGAAATTAACAAAGTCATGCTTCATTACATGTATAAATCTTTACCTAATATATATTATTTTTTTTATTTTATGTTATAGAAGGAAAATGTACAGATCTATTTTGCTATAAATATAAATAACTGGGAAGTTTCTAATCCTTTTAAAGACAAAGATTCAAAAACTTTTGTTACCAATGGGTTTGCAATTATCCCGGAAATGATGAATAAGTCTTAAAATGATTCTCGGCATCAGAGCCTCGGCAATGGCAAGCAGGTCAGGAGGAGGAGTTACATTGAGGTTCTTTCTGTCTGGACCGTGGCGAGAGCAGAATCTAAACAAACGACATAAACATCAACAAAACTAACACAGCAAAATGAAGAAATCAACCAAGCACATTACTGGATTTTCTTAGAAGTAAATACATACTTGTGATAAGTACCGACTGTACACAGAATGTTATATATTTTTGACCCCATTCATAAGAACATGTCAGGAAACAAAAATTCAGGGAAATAAAAATTGAAGATTTTTTTAAAGGTAAATTACAGGGTTTCTCTTATGACACTATAGAAAACATACATTTATATCGTGAGTTTTGGTGGATTAAAACTTTCAAACAAAGGGCCATAATTTGTTAACTTACCCTGATTTATTGAGGACACTGACATCCCCGCAGTCACAAGCCCCACCAGCCTGACTTCGGAACATATTAAAATCATGACCCTCATGGTTTCCAGAATGAAAACATTCATAACATAGGGACATACAAGGTGAAATTCCACATGTTCTACAGCGATACGCAACAAAATTCTTTGTCCATACCAGGCCACATGTCACAGCATTATCATACTGTTTCACTAAGAAAAAAATGAATCTGTTAAGCTTATAATCCACTGACAGAATCAAAATAAAACATTTCATGACCTATATGTTTACATTCTTTGTTGGTTATTAAATGAAGTGAAGTGTCGTAAAGATTATTTTATTTGCAATCTTGAATGCAACCTAAAATGCCTCAAATAAATTCATTCTTTTGGTCTGGTTAGACACATGCACAAATTTGTCTTGCGCACCTGCAGCTGAAAATTCATCAAATGTTGCTCCTCCTGCAATAATCCATCTACACCAGTCTATCGTGTCAACGTCTTCGATTGACTTCCGCCTGGGATCGAATAAATAGTCAAGAAATTCTTTAAAAGCTTTTGGAGAACCATTTCGTCGAGACCACTCTCCTTTAAAGAGACTGGCCACGCTACGTTTCCCTCGTTTCAGTAGAGCTGTCACTTCGCTCGGTGCAGCCATGTTGATGTTTCCATGGTAGAATTATGGGATATGCTTACTTCCGCTGACTGCCGGTGTAACATGCAATTTTGACCCGGGTTGAAAACTTACCCGAAGGTCTTTTTTCAACGTTGTTGAAAACTGACAGGGGGGGGGGGGTCTTTTTTCAACGTTGAATATTGAGGCCATAAGCGTTGAATTCAGACCCTAGCCTGTTGAAAATTGAACCGGATCGTTAAATTTTGATCATGAAATAGGGTCAAAATTCAAGAGCATACAAACACCTTTTAAATAAATTGACGTCTTCTATTATGATTTATTGATTCAAAAATTACACATCTTGTATATACACATGTATATATTTATATTTCACCATGTCTGTAGGAACCAGGTGAAGGAACGGGGGGGGGATGCATGACTGTTTCCTGTTTCCCTTACCACATGCGATCATATACTACGTATATGAAAGCTTTTATAAACAAAGCTATAAAAGAATGTCACTCTGTTGACTTTTTCTGTTGTCTTTTTGCCTGTCAATGAACTTTTGTTCACCCCCCCCCCCAAAAAAAAAAAAAAACAACTAAAACTGATTTTTTTTTCTACTGAGCTGTTCGGATCACTGAATATATTTTTATTCTTTAGATTAACATATATACTGATGCATGCATGTTCAATTCGAAATAGTCAATTTATACTAGACATGTAGCACTTTAGATAGGAAGGTCTCGAATTTTCTAAAGACTTATCACAAAAATCACATTATTTTTTTTTTTATTTCTACACTGTACAAAGAAGGCTTTTTATAAAAGACTCTCCGTACCTAGTTCACCCCACAGTTAAAAAAAAACAAACAAAAAAAAAAAAAAAAAAAAAAAAAAAAAAAACATATGTCACCTATTTATTGTATCGCTATTCAATAATTTCAACCCTTTCTCATTTATTTTTTATTAATTCATTAAACAACAATTTTTGATGTCCTACGACCGCCAAAAACATATGAAATGAAATCGGAAATGACAAAGGCATATGGAGTAATTAAAATACTATACAGATCTGAAATTTGGTAATCTATTTCTATGAAATGAAATAACTGAAAAGGAAGAAGTAGCTCTTTCCACTATAGTTTATACAGTCATGTAAGTTGAAGTACAGGTTCGATCAACAGACTGAATATACCGGTACACGTAATTTTCAACCAAAATGAAAAAGGTGGAAATAACAAACATTTAACCTCAAAATTCTTAAAAACAATACAAATTTGGGAACAGGACATAAAACACAGACCCCTGGAAACTCCAGAGATTGAATCAGATGCATAAAAAGGAGTAAGCATTCCCTGTCAATCGGTCACACCCGCCATGAGCTTTGTGTATTGATAAGATAGACGGAGTGATTTAGTATTAAACAATGACCTAACAATGGGTAAGAAAAAATGTAAGCGATAATATAACCCATTGATAGATTGTATTTGCAAACTATGACATTATAACGCCCATATAAAATTTTCGAAATGTGGACTTTAACGAGGTTGTTGAAATACCTGTAACATCTACTTATTTGCCAGTATCCTTCCTCTCAGAGCATGCTGCTGCGTATTGAATACGTTTGGATACATAAACACATTGAGGCCTTAAGTTCAGCATTAAGTTATATCGATGACGTTTTATCAATGAACAATACTGATTTCATTCATATGTAGATTCGATATATCCAACTCTATATATATATAACTCTTTACTAGAGAAAGACATTGATGGAAAACTATCAACTAAATTTTATGATAAACGTGATTTTCTTGAAGAAGGCGTTTTATGATATCAAAATACCTAATTTTTAATTTATCGTAAGAATGGCTATAAAGGTGTTGTAAAATCACACGTTTTGTTGTTATTGAGTTTGAAAAAAAAAATGATTTTAAAAATGTAAAAGTTCGTCAGAGATTTTAAAATCCATTTTTTATGATTTACACATTCAATTTTATGAATATGTTGAAGCATAGTGCTTCGTAAGTTTCTCCACAGCAGTTAATATTTTTGTGAGAAGTAAAAAAAAGGGGGAGGATTGGAAGAGCATTTGTTTGAACTTGCATCTATCTTTGTTTAATTGTTTCTACCAAGCCTCTCTCTTTACTTCTCACTAAAATATTAACAGCGATGGAGGAGAAACTTCAGGAGAACTGTGCAACAATATATTCGAGAAGTGGTGTAAATCAGATGTGAATACTTAAAAATTCCACGGAACTTTTGGAAAATTTGAAATCACAAAATTTTACCAAAATCATGCAATAACATAAAAACTTACGATTCTTAAACTCTGTACACAACCATTCCCCACGATTAATTATAAAGTCCAGGCTTTTTGACATCATTGACAGAGCTCTGCTTTTTCAATAAAAACTAACAATGGCTATTTCCATTCTTATGTCGATACGATATATCCTGATGAACTTGAGATAAAAGATACCACAGAGTCTGGCACATCTGTTTCATATTTGGATATTTTACTAGAAAAAGACGTTAATGGTAATCTAACAACCAAGCTTTATGATAAACGTGATGACTTTATTAATAACTTTTCAATCGTCAACTTACCTTACTTATGCAGTAATATACCCTTTTTCATCCGTATATGGGTGTATATCTCTCAGTTGATTCGATACGCAAGAACATGCTCCACGTATGAACAATTTCTGAAACGAGGTAAGTTATTGACAAACAAGTTGATGAAACAAGAATATCAACACTCTCGTTTAAAGTCATCATTTCGTAAGTTCTATGGTCGACACAATGACCTTGTCCGCAAATACAATCTATCATTAAGTCATATGCTGACTGACGTTTTTCACACTAATTTAATTTTTAGGTCACTATTTTATACACACTGAATTGTCGATGGATTTTTCCGTTATTTTCCGATCATTACAAGGAGCACACGGCGGTGCGACCGGTCGGCAGGAGATGTTTTCTCCTCCATGGCACCTGATGCCACCTCGATGTTTTTCGAAGTCCGTGTTTGCTCTACTCCCGATTTGTGTTGTTTTAATGGACTTTGAGCTTGATTACTGGTCGTTATCTCCATTTAAAGGCACGTCTTCTTCCGAGGGGAGATAATTACGGATAATTAGTGAAAAATTAATGGCATCTTTTTAAAATATTCTTCTTCGGAACCACTGGGCCACAAAATATGAAATTTATGTGGAAGCATCCTCAGGTCAAAATCATGACCCGGGGTGAAGGAAGGGACCCACATTAGGCGATCAAAGTTTTACAAAGGAATACATAGGAAAAAAATCATTAAATCTTGATCTCAAGAACAGCAAAGCCATGCATGATTGTCATTTTTATATGGAAGCATCCCCAGATGGTGTACAAATTATGACCCCCAGTTTGTACAAATTATGCCCCCAGGGGTAGGGTGGATTACAATGGACGATCAAAGTTTTACATAGGAATACATAGATAGGGAAAATCTTCTTCTCAAGAACAGTAAAGCCGCCATGATTGTTAATATTTATTTGGAAGTATCTCAGGTAGTGTAGATTCAGGTTTGTTCAAATCGTGACCCCCAGAGTAGGTCGGGGCCGCAATGGTTGATCAAAGTTATACAAAGGGATAGAGAGGAAATTTCATTAAAAATCTTCTTCTGAAGAACAACAAAGCCACGATTAGTCATATTAATTCAGAAGCATCCCCAGGTAGTGTAGAATCGAGTTTGTTCAAATCATTACCCCGGGGGTAGAGGGGGCCACAATGGAAGAGCAAATGGAAAAATCTTGAAAAAATTACTAAAGCTATGATGTCAAAGAAATATGAAAGCATCCTCAGGTAGTGTAGATAAAAGTTTGTTCAAATCATGCCCTCGGGGGATTTGTGACCACTTTTATATTTGAATTTTTCGATTTCTGCTTTTTTCTTTTCGAAAGTTAAGTGAGGTGAGTGATGTGGGCCATGGAACTCTTGTTATTGAGATGTTACTCCAAATTCTAATTACCAATTTTGTCCTGTTTGACATTATACATTTATTGACTGGGTTCGAGGGCAACATGCATTTTGTCGGACCCAAGAACCAAACTGTTTGCCTGAGGCCGTTACGCCGAAGGCAAACAGTTTGGTTCGAGGGGTCAACAGAACGCATTTTGCCCGAGAATCCAATCAATAAATGTTTTTTTAATACCTTTTATTTATTAATTTTTCTTGTTAAACATGTATCTTTTGCTGGCTTCCATACCCACGAATGCAAATAAGATTTAGTTGATCCTGCCCACAGTGTGACGTAAGCGGTCCAATATCTCGTCCACAGGTCCAATATCTCAATCTGTGGTCAAACATCGATTTTTTATGACCACTCAGTAAAACATTAGAAATGTTAGATTTTTTTTAGTATAGATTTATATAGGAACTAATTTTTAAAGGTACAACAAAGATATTTAATCTATGACTTTGTCAAACATAAATTGATAATATATAACAGATTACTCTGACAAATACAATGTATTTAAATTATATCGTGTTCAATATACCAAAGTAAAACTGTACTTCATTAAAATTGTAGATTCGAACAAGAAAAATGTAATGGATCCAACGGGATTAAAACCACACCTGTAAAAAAAACAAAACGCCAATCTATTGTGTTATATGCAGCAGCACCGCTATAACCAAATGAGCTTATCCTTCCACTGTGAATTCCATAACGAATGCTAAGACTGCTAGTTAAATTTTCTATTTTATACGGTGGTTATTTATAGCCACAGGCTATTGCTGCTGCTTTTGGGCTATAAATAACAACAGTGTAAAATCACGGGGAACCCTAGCGGCGATTTTTGCAGAGTCAAAATAATGAAAATAGGGTTGATTCAATGTTTGAAAATAAAATGCACATAGTTAACAAATACTCTCAAGTTATTTCAAAGACATTTTGTTGATGGGCACAAAGCTTAATTCCTGATATTTGCCTTTATCGATATTTCCCGCTTCATGAATATTCATTAAATTACGCCGACCTACAAATTCGTACACAGACTGACTCGTATATTCGTATGCAAACTACAGAAGTCACACGGCTTTTTTTAACGTTCTGTTAATGTAAAATTTAAACAGTATTTATTAATAGTCGGAATATTTAAGGGGAAAATATTTGAGAATAGTGGTTTCACATTTTAACTTTGAAATCAAATAATTATAATTGCTTAGTTACATGTATGCGACAAACGGTAATTACGAGACGTTCCCAATTTGATACTCCCTAATTATGAGATACTCCATGCTAGGAAAGCGTCGATCTCCAAATTTCTCCAATTCCAAAAGTACAATAAGATTCGAGGACTGCACATTCCTTGTTCCGGAATTGCGTGTTTTATAAATGTTTTATTTGAGTCGTTTTGTGGATTTTTTATACAATAAAACTTTTAAAATTAACTGTAATTTTACGATGTCTTTTGATTGTTTGAATTTCTAATATCTGTTGACGATAATTTGTTAGAAATATATATATATTTTCGTAAAGAAAAAAAAAAGATCACGACATCTTATCGATAATCAGTTAAAAAAAAGAATTGTTGGAGGCAGATACATGTACGATGCCATAAAGCAAAGTTTATTACGATTTTATCTAATTAATAATAATAATAAGCCATTGTGTAATTATCTCGGACACAAAAACTACTGAACGAATGCTAATTTATCAAAGTTATAATTAAAAAGACTGTGACGGACAAAAGTTAACAAAATATTTCATTCGTATTTGAAAATTCTATCGTACCTCGAATAAAATTTACCCTTTAGAAAGTGTAAGAAAAAAGGTACTAAAATACATGTGCATGAAATATTAGGATTCTCTCGCGAATTAAGTGGGCTTAATTTAGGTCAGTCTTCTCCTGCGTGTGTTCACAAATTAAAATTCGTACATTGTATTGCGCAATGACTAGTAGCAATAAGCAGGGTCAGTGCATATTAAGATTATGTATGAGAAATAGCATCGTCACAAACCACGGCCAAAATATACGATCTTCTCCCATTCTGAGGAGAGCTATATGCGGAATCCGAACCGTGGCTTGAGACGATAGAGAAATAGAGGCTGTCAAATATTTTGTTTTTCTGTTCTTTTTTTTTTTTCGAACAGTTTATATCAAACACAGAAGTAAGACTTCTGTATAATTCATGAAGTCTTTCAAGCTTTTAGAAATAAGTTAATTACAGTCAGGGACTTTGGCAAAGAAGGGAATCCAAGGATAAAGTCTATTTCATTATCTTTCAGCATATGATTTATGTCGCACAATCTATAGTACATGGCCAAAAGTGATTCATCATTTCCCTTTTTGCCATATACTTTATGAAAAGTAATATTTTGATAAAAAATATTGTGGGTTCAATTCTACTCAAAAATTAAAAAACTTTTCCAATAAGTTACGAAAAATTGATCATATTTTCTTTTTTTCGGGGGGGGGGGGTTGCAAAATTTGATTTTGATCACCGAGTAATTAATGATTTGGAATTATCAAGTCAAAATTTCTAACTTCAAAACACCAAGATTTCATTACACATTTTTGTAAAACTATGAATCTTAGAATAAAAATGTTCGGTGACTACAGGAATATATTAGGAACCTTGATTCTCTTATGATTCAACATTTAGGGTAAACTGGTTTTGACACATTTCAAGTATTAATTTGTGGGGGAAAATACTAAAACATCCCAAAAATCCATTATTTGAATATATAATTTCAATCTGTCCATCATCCTAAAATCTGTTTTCATTTTTAAATTTGCAATTATGACTGTACACCACAATAGTACATATAGAAAAAAAAAAAAAACCTGAAATGATCGAAGTTTCGTTTCTGGCATTTCAGGATAGTTTTTTTTAAATTCAATCCTTATAATAAACCTAATGTAGAAAATTTCATGCAATACATTAACAACTCCAATTAATACATGTTCTCATTATACTACGGAAATATAAATTTACTTATTAAAAACATGTATCGTGAAAAATTGCAACAAACTTTCATAATTTCCATCATATCATTTTACAGATTCTTATAATATTTTATCTCATTCAGTGCCAGTCGCCGTGTGGCGCAGTGGTTAGCGTTTGCTCTAGAGTCACGAACATGAAGGAGTCGATCCTTACGTAGTGGCTTCGAATCCCACTGCGGGGTGTGGAGACAGTTAAACCGAGGTCCCGTGTCGCAGTAAGTGCTGGTCAAAAAGATCCCTCACTACTCAATGGCCTGGAGTGCTGAATATAAATCTAAATTTGCAGCCCACCAACGGCAATAGTGATGTCTCAATATGAGAGAAAAATTCTCGAGACGGACGTTAAACAAACAAAATCATTCATGCCACCGTCTATCAGTACTTACAGTACTTTGATTTATTTTCACCATCGCCGCCTCATCGGGGCAGGTCTACTCTTTAGCCAGAATTTGTTACGTTAATCTTTGTTGAAACCCTTTCACAAGGTACCATTTTATGTTCCAAAGCAGTCTGTACTTAATTACATATTGATCAAAATTTCACTGAAAAAGGGTCTGAATTGACAAAATTGATTTATCCCTTCGAAAAAAAACTTCATTAAAGAGGTTTAAAAAATTATACTTTGTATAGTAAGACAATATGTTAACCTGGAATTCTATGTGCTCTCTGCATGGTGTCATCCCCCCCCCCCCCCCCCCGATCATCTACCGTATACATGTATAGGCCCTGGCATATTGTTTCTGTCGAAGAGAAACGTCATTCATAAGTAATTTTGTTAGCCTAAGAAAAATTTCAACGCCTTACCCGATGCTTCTGTGAAAATTAAACACCACACTCTATCAATCCTCTCATATTTTGAACAACTGTTTTCCCTCCTAATTTTGAGGAAATGCGCACGTGATGACAAAGAAGCCAATCAAATTTGAGGGCGTTCACCAACCGCATCATTCGAATCAGGTCAAAGCAGATATTGAACTAAACAGTAAAAATCTACCGGTAATTAATATTTCCTGTAATATGTTTTAGTTTTGTATTTATAGCATGATATTCAAGTTTTTTGCAAAAAATAATCATTTTAATGAAGCTCTTCACCCTGTTGCATTGACAATTTTTTTCTTCTCTGCTTTTCATTATCTTTCAAACTTCGAAGTATTGTAAAAATTTGTTCCGTCATGTAATTATTCAACAAATCTTTAACCTATACTGCCTGAGGATGCTTCCATATCAATATGACTATGGGTACTCACGGCTTTGCTGTTCTTGTCAATGAGAAGATTTTTAAAGATTTTTTCCTATATATTTTGATGTAAAATTGTGATCCCCCATTGTGGCCCCATCCTACCCCCAGGGGTCGTCATTTGAACAACTTGAATCTACACTATGTAAAGAAGGTCTCCTATTTCAACTTTTTTTGGTCCAGTGGTTCTTGAGAAGATTCTTACAGTGCAGGGAACTAATTTTGTTACATAAACCAGCATCAGCATTAGCATTAGCAGCATCAGGATCGAGCTAGCATCAGGATCAGCATTTAAAAAACAGCATTACCAGGATCAGCATCAGCAAGCATAGGATAAAACCAGCATTGACCTACATAAAATCAGCATTATCCTACTAGCAGCAGAAAATCAATGAGTTTTAATTCAGTAAAAAATTAAAAAAGAAAGAAAGAATATTGGTTAAAGTATTCACATTATTGATACATAGTGAGATATTATGATCAAATAATTGTAAAAGGCACTTTTATTGCTTTAAACGGCAATGCTGAAATTCATTATCTACTTCCGGCAGCATGATGCTGCTTCCGGTAGCATTGACCTAATTATAAAACAGCATCAGGATAAGGATTACTAGCATTTAATCAGCAAGCAAAGGAAGCATTCAAATCAGCAAGCAATGAAAGCATTCAAATCAGCATCGATGCTGTAACAAAATTAGTTTCCTGCACTGTAATACAATCCACCAAATTTTCACTATTTCTGAATTATCTCCCCTTGAAAGAGGGCCTGGCCCTTCATTTGAACAAACTTGAATCCCCTTCACCCAAGGATCCTTTGTAGCAAGTTTGGTTGAAATTAGCCCAGTGGATCCGGAGAAGAATTTGAAAATGTGGTCGATCTATTAGTGGTTGTGTTATAAAGTGAAATGGGAAAAAGACACAATTTCTTTTTTATGTTATTTTTTTTAATTAAAAAAAACATACGTAGCTAAGGTGGAATATTTCTGCCCTCTATTACAAGTTATTTTTCTGTCGATTATGTGGCCATGAATGCAAGATAATTATGTCAAGCATGCATGAAAAAACCTGAGCAGAAAAGGAAAAAGGCTCTAACCACTGCACCACACAGGCGACTAGTACTGTGTAATATACTCTCAGACAGAGTCATCCCTGGCTCCTTCTGTTTATCAGCAATAACAACTAAAATGATGTAAAAGAAAAGTTTTCACTAATTTTTACCCTCGTATCAGCATTGCTAAAAGTCCATACTTCGTTATACATGTAATACTTTCTATTATGTTAACTGTGGGTACTATGTGATAACACTTTTCCTAATATATGTACTTTCAAGTTGTTCTATATGTCTCATTTTATTGTTCTCTCAAATAGATCCTCTTGAATACGAAGTTTAAAAGGCTATTTTCTAGCTTATTCCATCTTCATCAAGTTTTTTTAAAAAAAGACAGTAAAATCATAGTTGTCGTAATTAACCTTGCATATGAAAAGCATGGCATGCCATGTAATTTAATTATTTTCACCATTCAAAGTAAATAAAACACTCAGTGGGGTACCTGTGTTCAGAAATATATAACATCTTTGTTACCTGCACATGAAATTATCAAGTTGAACCTGCTTTATTAGGTTAGAAATGCTAATGGCAGGATTGAGTTTTTTAACTAAAACATCTCATTCTCCCTTCAAAAAATCTCAAGGTCAAGGTCAATTCCATGGTATTATTTGAGGTTCTTCTTTCACCTCTGCACTTTCAAGGATATACCCTGAATAGTAGTAGCTTATCACTACAAAGCTAAAGTCAACAGGTAAATAAAATGTTGAATTAAATGGATGGATTCCTGAATAGTCTCATATACATGTATCTTTTAAATGTTTTCAAATCACAGTTACACATATATGTAAAGTAACGTCTTGTGCCAGATTTATTTTGTTGAATGTTCACCACATCCAGAGGAGAGAATTTTACTCTAGATTATTTTTCATGCATATGTATGCAGAGCAATTCGTTGGAGTTTTCTTTTCAGACTGCCACATTATACATGTAGCTTTGTTCCTTTGTATTATTGTTGCATGTTTGATCAATCTTTCTCACTTCCTTCAAGTTTTTCAATTTTTCCTGCTAAACCATCAAGTACAACCTCATCACCTGAAGTAGAAGAAGGGTGTATTATACACCAGGAGAGAATTTAACTGTGTATTTCCTGATGAGGTTTCAAGATATTTTTAAAATGAGAACAGAAAATAATGACACTTCTGATTCTAAAGCAAAAGAAGAAGTTATAATAAAGTAATGCAATGTTCAGGTTATGCTTGATAACAAAGCAAAAATTTACAAGAACGGCACTGCAATGATGAGTATCCCCTTGTAAAAGAGCACATCTATTCCAATAAAGATTATTACTAGCATAGCTTCCATTATGCATGCACTCACTCACAGTTTCCTACCTAAACAATTTACAGAGAAAATTCACGATGCTGTATTTCTTTCCATTAAAGAAGAAGGTACGGTTTTAGCTTTATTGTACCCTAAAAATTTAAATAATGTTTTCAAAAAGTTTTGAAACTGGCTTAAATATTAGTTGAGTATATGACTGTGATAAATCAGGAAGGAATATGAATGAAGGAGTACCTTTCTGGAAATATGACGTCATAAATTTGATGCATTTCTCTATTTGAAACAGAAAAAGCCTCAAAATGACCCATTTCAAGGGTTATTTTCCTTTAAAAAATAGTGTCCACAGCAGTTGCCCACTTTGATTTTCGGATATGTTGTGTAAAATTCTTTAAAAAATCACATATTTTAAAATCTTTGTGGGCGATGCCTGTGGACAATATTATCTGAAAGAATATTCCATTGAAAATTGGTGTCTTCTGCAACTTTTTATGAAAATACGGGAAAATGCACCAGTTTATGACATCACAATTAGCATTTAGAAGGTCATGTGAGAAAAATGATTTGTATGATCTTTCTGTATGGAATTTCAATGATTCAGAAAGCATGAGTTATAATTTTTTGCATCACTTTCATTTTTAAGAAAAACACAGGGCAAGATTTGTATTGAAACTGTACCTTGTTCTTTACTTTATTTTCCCACTTCATGAATAATAATATCTACATTTCCAAGCAGGAATTAAAATATTAATATTAATAAATGCTTTTTATTTAATAATTAAGACAGTAAAAACAAATTGAATTGATATATTATTCCAGTACATACCTGACTTTAACAACTGAGTGGCATTTGGTACATTGACCACACAAGGCAACTGGAATTCCCTAGCCACGACAGCACCATGTGACACAAGACCCCCCATCTCAGTCACCAGACCCCCCAACAGGGGGAAGTAAGGTGTCCACCCCACATCAGTGTAAGAAACTATCAGAATGTCGTCTTTCTGTTAAAAATATTTACGTAAACAACTTCTGATGAACCACTTCACAATAGTAAATTAACTTTTTCCAAAGAAATATGAGGGAAAGGGCCTTTGGAAATCTATTCCTTAAAAATCAGAACACTCTAAATTCATGTTAGTAATAGAAGTTAACATTCATAAAATGTATCAAAAAGCAACATCGATTTTGAATTGCACTCTAAAGAGAGGCCAAGTAAGGATGACAAATGAAAAGTTTGAGAAATTTTTTTCATTTTAATAAGTAAATTTGTAATCATCTATACTACATTTTTGCAGTACTTCAATCATTCTTTCAGAGACACTCAAATCTTGCAAAATGTTGCATTAATTACGGATTATTAAACTTAACATCAGACAGAAACACAACTCATAATTTCATGTTTCTTCTCTAAGAAAAAATGTGAAATAATATCAAGGCAGATGTACATGTTGATAATTGTGGCTTATAGCTACGCTTACCTGTATACTGTTAGCTTCTGCGAGTGTTTTGACCACTCTTGCTTTGCCGCTTACTCTGCCTTTACAAATTGGCATCCCTTTATAAAAATCAAATAAACACATCATCATCTTCATGTATAATTTTTCTCCCTTATGTGAGACTTTTTATGACATTTTTTCCCCAGAACAAATACAGAAATTATAAGATTTTTTAAAAATCTAAAACAACAGTTTCTTTTCCAATAAGGTAATCCAAGAGGGTAACAATATGCCATGTTTAACCAGCATTATACCTGATAAGACAAAATGTGGTTTTCTTTGTTCTTCAAAGTTTTCCTGCTCTTGCTGCAATGATAGAAGAAATAATATTAATCAATGAAAGATAGTATTGCTCACATTAACATGTAATTCAGGGTTCTCCATGAGCTGTTTTACTGTGTGGGCCTGACACAGTAACGATTCAAATTTTATGCGTGTGACATGGTAAAAATTTTGCGACACAGTAAGATCCGTGACAATCAGAAAATCAGAACACAAATTCTCTCTAACTGAAACTTTAATCAAACAAATCTACCTTTTTTCAATTCTTAAGGCAGAGCACTTAATCATCTCTTAATTAGGGCACTTTGTCTTGCTTCACCTTGCATAATCAATTATCTCCTAGGCCCTCCTGGACTTTACGCATGAATTAGGAACATAGGCAAATAATTTGTTTTCACACTTCCATGTAACCGTATAATTGCTAGTTGAGTTTAATTTTGAACATTATTTAAAAATTTATTTTATGTCTTTATACTTCAGAGCCATGTCTGTAGAATTATGTTGGCACTGTGAGTCAAACATCGTACTGTAATTATTTAATTCATTGATGTAAATGTAATTGTTCAAGAATTTAAAGGCATCCCCGAAAAGTATTTTACTATTCTAAAGTTTCTTTTTTTAAATTCGTAAAATTCGATCAACTGACAAAAATCATGGCAAATTTACTTTTAAAGTGGAGAAGTACATCGATTTTATCAACCAGAATTTTCTCTGCTCTTCAGAGCATGTGTAAAATATGAAGTTAAATATACATTGTATATACAAAAATATCAAAGTATACACTAACAGCTTGTAGACGGTGATACAAGAATATTATTTACGGTTTTTTGCATTATACTTATTTTTTTAAGTTGTGTGTTGTGGGGGTGGGGGGTGGGGGGTTACAGTTGGTTTGTCTTATAGTACATTGTATGTACATGTACATTTATTTATTACATGGAAAAATTTTAATTGTTTTGAATATCCATTCCATTAATTTATTGTGTTTGTGCTTTTATAATTATAATGAATAGTGGTTCGGTTGCGAATTTGATCGCGAAAATGCCGCGAATATTAGTGGTTCATGTAAATTAAGTCTGCAACAAAGTAAAATTTCAAATGATGGAGAACCCTGTAATTATTTAATGAACCTTACGAGTCCAGGTCAACTGAATCAAATTCAATTATTATGTAATGGATCAAGAATTCTAAAATTATAAACTTGCTCCATATACATGTATATTTCCACTTCCCTCATTCAGAGTAAGTAATCAGATGACAATTAAATGCAGTAATTATGGATGTCCTAATGGGATTAAGGTTCACATGGACACCCAATCAAAGCATGCATTTATTAATTAACATACAATTTTTCTTGCTACGATGCATGGCTACATCTGCAAGTTCCATAATTTTGTAAAGGGCTTAGGGTTTAGTATATAGTCATGGATAAAGTTTGCCTGCTAAATGTCACAAGAAGATCAATTTTCAAAGATGTCATGTATTTTTTATTTAGACCAAACTATCTCAGCCTCTAGACCTTTTAACCAAATATTCACCCTAGAGTTATAAAAATCCCCAGTAAATTCACAATAATTATGGTTCCTCTTTACCACGTGCACTGAGGACATTCACCAAAATTATTATCATTAGCTGTTCAAGAAGCTGAAAATGTTCAGAAGGTTATGAATGATGAAGGACAGATGACAATGGATTTTAACACATAGCAATAATAGGTCAACTGAGTGACTCAAGTAACCTTTAAGTCCAAATAAAATTAATTTAATGTTTGAAAGATTTCATGATGATCAAGACATTGTTATATTCACACTAAGAAACTATACTCATTGAAACCTGCAGTAATTATTATTTTTTAAACAATTTAACATGGTTAAGTGCAGCTTACTGGATTTGGAAGCCCTATTGAATATCTAGAAAATGTCTGATTCATTAATTTTGGCAAAAGTTTTCTTCTTCTGTTGGCTCTGAAAATAGATTTGTTAAATAATAATATGATAGAATTACAATGTACAAGAGTAACAAAAACCACAATCATGGAAGCATTCACAGAACATAGTCACACAGAGTTACCAACTCTAGCATTTATACAATTTCATTTCCTCTGAAAACATGACCTGCAGTCAAAGTCAAGATTCTCTTGGGTCAAGGTCAACCATTCCACCCCCTTTTTATCACAAATAAATACAATTTGTGTTACAATTCTTTTTCTGCAAAAGATCTTGAATACATGACCTGCAGTCAAGGTCAAAATTCTTTAAGGCCAAGGTCAACCATTCTGTCCCCTTCTCATCCCCCCAAAGATAATTTTAAAATATCATTACCAAAGATTCCCTACAGCAATGTACATGTAGTACATAAGAAGTCTTACTTTGTAATCAGCTTTGGTGACCTGGTTTTCAGGAGCTGACCTATTTCCCGGTGAGTCAGGAAGAAGAGCAACTCTTTGTCTGGTAACCTGCCCTGTAAACAACAGAATCTGTCAATTCTTTTTATTTAATTGTCTGTGTGACAGACAATCACATAGTTAGATAAACTCAATTTAATCATCTCTGACTTTTAGTAAGTAAAGTACCATATATCATTTACTTTGTCTTTTTTTAAAATCAGTAAATGTATGGCCACAATGCTGACCGGAGTTACCCTGACAAATGAGTAACTAGTATGTTCTTGTATATATATGAAACTTTTATTGTGGTCACCAAGTTTGAGTACATAAATTTAACAATTTCGTCGAGGTGAGCTAAAAAAATAAATTAAAATGTTTATTTATACCTCTTCCACCATTTTCTCTGCCAGACTCCAATACGCTTGTTTAAACTTATCTGCCACCTTTATACATAATGATTTCCCAAACTCCCTCTCTCCTACAGCTTTCCTGGCCCGGGGGAGAATGAACTTCAAACTCCTCCTGCAGGTTCAAAACAAAGTAAAATTATCTCATTTCAATAATTATTTCTAAAAAATGCTGATCATTGTATAGGAGGTTCTTTGCATATTATTAATAACTAATTTCAGCGACAAAGACTATGGCTTTTGATCTTTATTCAAAATAACTTTAAAAAATATCTATAATAGTTTTTGATTATTGAATTTTTGAAATAGTTTTTCATACTTTTCACCATTAGACAGAGGAGTTTTCAGCTGTTCTATGATATCTTTATCACTTAGTATACTGGTCTGCTTTCTCTCTTCATAAGCTCCCATTGTAATAATTTTCTACAAAATGTAAAATTAAAACAATCAATGACATGTACATATCAGATGGAAAAAGACATCTACTCAAAGAATCTGTCCAGGTTTTTTTGTTTGTTTGTTAGTTTGATTTTTTATGCCCCCAGATCAAAAGATCCTGGGGGTATATTGTTTTTTGTCCTGTCTATCTGTTTGTCTGTCTGTCTGTCGTCAACTTTAACCTAGCCCATAACTATTGCACTGTCAAGGGTAAGGCTTTAATATTTGACATGAGTGTTCATTATGACCTTTCCATTGGTACAGAAATTTTTGATCATGTGACCTCAACTGTGACCTTTGACCTACATTTGAAAAACTTTAACAATGGCCATAACTATTGCACTGTAGTTTATGTCCCACTCCAGAATTTTGTTACCATCAGAGGCATAGTGTTTCACAAACACATCTTGTTCTCCCTGTTTTTTATTTAGTCTTTTATGAAGAGATAACAAAACTAAGTACACTAGAACAAGTTCATGTGATAAATGAAAGTTCTAGTGTTCATATTTCTGATCTAGAAATCTAATATACACCGATATAGCAATATCTACTGATATTGTGTAATCGCATTTTTTTATTACTTAGCTGTAATACAAGGTCTCCAGATTTAACATACATGTTTTTACTTGAAAATTACCAGTTTTGTACAACATTTAGATTTAAATATATTATGACAATTTTATTGAATTATCAAAATTATTTCAAAAGTTATGTTGGTCTGAAATTAATTTTACTGAAGTCTGTTCTCAGTTTATGGTTTCAGGGCTAGATTTTACTGAAAGTTTTGTCATTTACAAAATATAAGCAAAAATTTTCTGTTATTTTTACTTCATAACATTTACTGCTTGCAGATGTATTTAGAAAATTTCTACAGACATGTTGGACTTTCAGATGTTACTGACAGCTTAATGAAATGATGTGATCTTATATAACCCTTTACCTTTAGAGGAAACAACATCTGCACCAACTTAACTTAGTGCCATTTCAGCCTATTTACCGCTGCTCACGTCTGTTTCACCAAGTAACCATTTTTTGCAACATATCTCAAAACATATAAATACCTTGGCCTTCGAACATAGTTCGATTGATGGATTATTTTCCCCCCAATCTTCCTGCATTCAAATGAACACTTGAGTTTTACCAATACAAAACAAGTCAATTCTTCATCACATACACAACTCTTTATACAATCTAATGCACCCCCACCCCTTGGGGAAATGGGGGATAAAAATGAGAAGGCCAGAGATTATTTTTCCCTTAAAAGATGAATAGGTATGGGTAATGGAAAATATTTTTCAGTTTGAATGTTCCAGATATTTTAGACCCAACCTTCAATACTTGGACCAGTCTCTCTGGATGGGTGTCCCAGGATTTCTCCATAAGCTCAGCCTAGAAATGAAAAACACATCCTCTAGTCTTAATTCACACTGTTGTACTTTTGTTTATCACAAATGTAACATAATAGCTTGTCAGAACAATTAATAGTAGCTATATAAATGTGACATGAATAAAGCTGATGACAAAAGTTTAATTATTAATATTATATATAATTATATATATGAAATGATGTGATCTTATATAACCCTTTACCATTTCATATATATATATATATACACATGTATATATATATATATATATATATATATATATATATAGTTTTAAACTTGGTCAATTGTCTGGCCAATTGCAAATTTTAGAGCTTGTTGTTGGGTCTTTGTTTAATTGTCGGGTCTTTTTTGAGCTGTCGGGTCCTCGACCCAACAATTTTAGACCCAACAATTAATCGTTGTTCTATTTCCTTACAATTCGGAAAAATGTTTCAAATGAACTGTTTGTCTGTAACCTGAATTGTCGGGCCTAAATTTCCCGTGAAGTACAACTTCTGTCATTGTCCAATCAGAAGTCGCGTGATAGTGGCGCGAAATTAGATGCGGAATGAACCGAGATTCGCCGAAGTTCAAACCGGAAGGACCCAAGAAGTGGTTGCAAAAACGATGCAGAGGTACTTATACATTTTTCCATTTACATAGCTTTAATAGGGTCCAATGGAATTAATTTTGTAATATAAATATGAGCACTATCAAAGACTGATCAATATTTGAAAGCCATAATGCTTAAGCTACTTTTATTATATTGAAGTTCGAAATTCCTCTGCCAAGACTTGACTATCAAACAATGAAAAGTACAAAAACAATTCAGGATTTAAAAAGTGTCAAGGTTATATTTTCTATTCTTTATAAAATCGAGTGTAGTACCTATATGAACCATCTTAACATCAACATATTTGCCAAGTACATCATGTACATAGGGCTGGAAAATCCGTATTGAGATATTCATTTTGGGAATGGGTCACAGGCGGCCCTTAGAATTGGGAATTTAACGAATTTTTATCTCTACTCTTATTTGGAAATTTTAATGCATTAAGTTTTTCAAGAGATAAACATTTATGATGAATAAAATTGATCTTTTATTTAATTATTCAGAACTATAAATCAGAGAATAGATATTTTATAATGATGTTTTCCGAGCTTTCTTAGAAATATTGTTCATTTCATTCAAATTGCCATACCTGACCATGTTTGTTTTACATGAATTTTGATCAAGTTAATATGTGGAGTTTTTGTGCATTCAAAAATTGAACATATGTAGTTCATTTTTGGGAAAAAGGGAGGGGTTTTGCAATTTGGTTGGGGCCCATATTCAGCCCTACACGGGGTAGTGGGAAATCCCTGGCGATGTTTGAAACTATATTGCGATATTCATTGCAATATTTTTAATTTAAAAAAATAAAGTTTTTTTCATATTATATTTATTTCCATTTATATGCAGAATGTACATTATCAGTCAGGGGGTGAGACTGAAATTCATCATATTTAAAAAATGATGATTTTCTAGTCATAAAGTTGATTTTTAGAATTACTAAAATTCATCATTTTTTAGATTAATGTTGAAAAGCAGTCATAACTATTTGGAGTTTATTTTAAAATATAGAGACATTAAATATGACCATGATTCATTTTTTATCAAATTGGTAGGTCTGGGCGCACTTAATTATCTCTTGAGTTTTACAGGGCGCACTACTTTATTTTGGTTTCAGTTGTTTGTCAAGATAATTCTTCAATATGATGGATTTCAGTCTCATGCACCCCTGACTGATTATTAGGATAAATAACCAGTGGTGCACAGAGATGCAACCATACTACAGCTTTTGCCTTACTGTTTGGCAGGATTGCAAACATTTCTGAGATCTTTTTATAACTTTTTATTTATTATACAAATCCCAGTCTAAGCATTTAATTTGCAGGTATATCGGTACTAAAAAAATGTATCGCAATGCGATATCTTTTGACAATGAGCTGCATTACACCAGAATATCCGTATTATTCAGCTGTTATTGTGCAGCCCTACAAGCGCATCAGCTGATCAGTCTACACTTTTTTCTTCTGCTTTCAGAAGAAACAAACTTAAAAAGCCACTGATGGCGGCCAAAGAATGTATTGAAAGGAAAAGGGATTTAGAATTCCTTAAAAATGTTTGGATTAGTGATGAGATACGTAAGTACATGTAATTATGTATTTGTTAGTTTTCATGCACATGGGTTGCTCCTGGTTTCTATTAATTATTTTTCTGTTCTAATTATTCTGTGAGAGGTATTCTTCGCTTTCTTGAATAAAAATCTGGCGAATTAAGTGTTGATATTCTGCCCCAGTTGCCCATAGGTACATAAACACATTTATTTTTCACATAATTTAAACATTTCAAAAAAATACTTGTTCATTTGCTTTGGATTTAACACTACTGAAACTAAAGACGCGGTGAATTGATACAGTAGTGAGTTGTTTCACTTCTATTTAGATATGAAAATAATCACCAGCTCCTTCTAAGATTCTGAAATGTTTGTTAATCTCAGATGTTCGAATTCTTTATTTTTTGCAGACGGGGAAGTTGTAACAGAAAATCCTCTAAGCAAAGGTGATTTTATTGCAGAATACAGGGGCAAATTAGAAGAACCAAAGGAGAGTGTTTACAAGTTTGAGTTTTTTCACAAGAAGACCACAGACTGGTAAGTCAGTTGTGTACTAGTAGGTCAATATAGATGCAGAGTTGTTTTTTATTGAGGCAGTAAATCACTGACAATCTGTCCTATAGACTGTAAAAAAAATATGAATGTTTATCACTCCTTCGTTAATGTGCACTCTTATAAATTTTCCTTTAACACTTGATTTTTCAAAACATATGTAATTTTCCTTCGCAACAGTCGAAGGGATATAGTAAGAAAGTCCATGTCCATGTGTAACAGAAGTATTGATTTACATGAGGATCAATGTGCTCTTGTGAGGGGATTCTACACTTAATAGTGCCCTTGTGCAAAATTGAAATTCACACAATTTTAAGAATACTGTCAGGGACTAACCTAGGTCCAGAATGTAGGGATACTTCACTTCTCTTTCAAAGCAATTTAGAAAGAAGTTTTGAAGATCAGGGAGACATGATACTCAAATCCACTAGCCCTAATGTCTGGTGCATGTCTCACAATTGCCTGTGTACAGTTCATTTTGTGATCAGACAGGTCAATCTCCAGGCACACTTGTCTGATCAGCAAGAAAATTTGTTTACCTTAATACCTTTAGAGAATATTGTGAATATGATTTTTTTTTAAAATTATTATCCCAAATAATTTTTTAACTACTGTCATAGTTTTAAAACGCTGCCATCAGGGTTCAGAAGGGTTCAGTCTCTTTATACCCCCCGCAAACGAAGTTTAGGGGGGGTATATTGGAATCAGCATGTCCGTCCGTCTGTCTGTAGACGAGATTTTGTCCGGACCATTTCTTGGAAACTGTTGGAAGGATTTGTCTGTAAATTTTTACACTTATTATTCACCATATGAAGATGTGCACCTGGTATTTTCATTATGATTGGATAATTATTTTGCATTTTACAGGTGTTTTTTTTCATTTTTATTATGTGGTTTTGTCTGGATCTGTTCCCAGAGACTATTGCATAGATTTGTGTGAAAATTTGTACACTTATTATTTTCCATATGAAGATGTGCACTTGGTATTTTCAACATTATTTGATAATTTTTCTGCATTTTACAGGTGTTTTTTTTTTTTTTTAATTTTTATTGACTTAGTAATTTCGGGTTCATGTCTAAGGTTTGAGACAGAATCTAGAACATCTGTACAAAAATGTGAACTATAGCTTAAAACTACTCATTAGAACTAAAAAAAAAACACAAAGTATTAAAAACAGTTTTTACATTACACAGCAGATAGTGTAAATCCATTTGTCCCTTGGGAGTAATGAGTGGACATGCATCCAGTTAAAGATTAATTAATGAGTTCATTGTGGGAAGCTGTTAGGGCATCTCTGATCAAGCAGGTCTTATCTATATCTCAGGGGAATTGGGCAGAAAGAAATAAAGTTCTCTGTTGTCTAAGTCTCTTAATTGTAATTTATGTCTGTCAAAATACATAGTTACTAAAACCAGCCTTTTATTTTTAAAATGAGTTTGATATAAAGGTATTAAAATCAATTTGATTTTCTATAATTAATTATGATTTTTTTTTTTCAACAATCAATTTGCACTGTGTCATGTCTCACAAAGATGGCAGATAGTTGCAAACTATTTTTTCAATGTAATAAAAAACACTCTAATTATTAGTGTTGATGTTTTATTAGGCTGCACCTTAGTTTCATTCATTTAATAAAGTGCCCCACCACAGCATGATACGCCCATCAAATATTGTTAAATTATCATAAACAGTTTAGATTCAATTGTTTGAATGACATCTTAGCGAGACAAAGCAGTCTGCAATTTGTTGTAAAGATATAAAAATTCAAATAAAAAATGTACAATAAATAATTAGTTTAAATTATATTATACAATATCATATAAGTTTTAATTATTATATACAATATCAAATTAGTTTTAATTACATCAAATTTATCTTGAAAGTAAGACTAGCCAACAAGAACAATTCAATACAACAAAAGCAATTAATTAAGAGACTGATTCCTTTTGCCCATTTCCCAAGAGATGTAGATAACACCTGCTTGATCAGAGATGCTCTGCCAGTTATCTCCTCACACTAAACTCATTAATTTATCTCTAATTTGACATGCAATTTTCTGCTATCAAAATTTTCCTTGACCAGTGCCTGATCATTACACCCATGGGAGAGGTGGAATTTTTGTTGTTACAGATTGCTGTAAAGAACATAATGAAAATAATAAGACTAGTATTTTCTTGATTTAACACTTTTTTAATAAAGATACTGCAATATTCTGACATCTTTTGGGATTGTGTAATTTAAAAGTTAAAAGACATAGTTTTTTGATTCTAAGTCTAATGGTTTTCTAGTTATGATTTTTCCATATTTGGC